TATTTCATCATTTTCAGTAGTAGAAAATTGCAAAAATATTTTTCTAGTGTTGAGTAGATTATATACTATTCAGATCCCATTCTGTAGCTCAACAGAAATAGTTATTCCACGCATGAATAGAAAACAACATTTTTTTAATCTTCTACTCCTGAGGAAGATGAAAAATTACTATGCAAACTTCTATTTTGGGTGAAATATCTCGATAACTGTTCATTTTAGCTCAGTTGAAGGTGATGCATTTTTTCAACATAATTGAACAATCAATTCGAGAAATTGGAAATAATCGAAATTTCATCAGAGGCGTAGAAAATATGGGAGGAAAAGTTATCACAACCCTCTGTAGCGCAACTCTGGGTAAAATTCTCGGAATGTCTTTCTGGTCAAAAAATTAACCATTGAAAGATGAAACCATATACCGAATTTGAATGCATTATATTCAATTTTTCTTGAGATATTGCGAAAAAACTATTTCAATTTCTCAACTTCAACGTCCTCTATCTCGAGAACTGAACACTTGAAGACCTATCTCAGTGATTATGGAATCACGAGGACTATCAACTGTCAAGCGTTGTCGGTCGAATTTCGCAACACCCTGTATATGGCCCATCGCCTATACGATATCTCAACAAAAATGGGACCAAAATGAGAGGTTCTTTTTGAATCTATAAGGACGGAAAGTGAGGGATAGCCATATTGGTTCGACGAGTTTCATATTGTTAGAACTGAATTCGTAATGGGGTTTGTAAATTAGCGAAACTCTGGTAGATAACTAACTTCAATTTATATTTTCTGACTGCACTACATGTAATTCAAATAAAGACTGACTAATTCTAACATTCCATATCTTACCAAGACCCGATCACGTAACCCTTAGTCACCTCCTCCTGAATCATCATCTCACGTAGGTACATTATGGTTCTACAGGGGCGGCGTGGTAACAATATTATTTTTTCCCTACGTCGGCATCAACGCCTATTGGTCGATTTCGTTACCTATAGCACCCGCATCCCCCCCGCACCCTGTATCTGTTCCAGTTGAATGTCAGTATATATTATTCATTCGGAAGATGAGAGAGGGACATGAAATCCCGTTTTGGCCAATATAGTTCTTATAATTTCGACGCGAAAAGTTCTATAAAGGGTTGAAAAATCCCTATTTAGAACACCCTATATATCTGTATCATGTCCACCAGACGTCCTCTTTATTGTATCATGCACCAGACCCCAATAAGTGTGATGTATTGATGAATTCAGCTCTTTAGGGAGAATATAAAAATGCATTATTATTCAGGGTGTTCCATTTGGAAAAATAAAGTTGCTGGCTTTTTTAGAAAAACCGAAAGTCCGCCATATTGGATTGTATTGTGATCAAATCCGAAATGGTTGCTTATACAGGGTGTTCCATTGGGAAACGGAAATACTTTAATGGTGGATAGAGGTTACCAAGGTGGTGTACTGATGAATATACCATGTGACCATATATATGTTGGGTCTTATACTAGGTGGGCCAAAAGAAATCACCCTATTGGAAGATGCTCTTATTTTTGCAAATGGCGGCCAATGTCAGATCTGTTTCGACATTTGACATTTATGAACTAGACAGATGTAGAATACAAGTGAACAAGCCACGGAGCGATACACTCCCCAAGAAAGCGGAATTATCCAAGCCAAGCCATCCTCAATCTCGTGGACGATTTTTCGACCAAAATCATATTGAGCGACAAGGCTCATTTCCACCACAGCGGGTACGTGAACAAGCAGAACTATCGCTTCTGGGGCACTGAAAATCCACGAGTGATGCACGAGGAGCCATTACACCCGCTCAAAGTGCTCATGGTGCGCTGTTTACTCTGGAGGAGTCATCGGGTCATTTTTTTTTCGAGGTCGCCGCTGGTCAAACAACAACAGTGGAGGGTGCGCGCTATAGGGCCATGTTTACCGAGTTTTTCTGCCGCGATTGAACGAATTAGGGCTGGAGGACATGTGGTTCCAACAGGACGAAGCAATGGCACACACTGCGCGAGCCACAACCGATATTCTGAAGGCGGCGTTCCCAGATCGCCTCATCTCTCGTTTTGGCGATTTGCTCTGGCCCGCAAGATCGCCCGATTTAACCGTTTCAGACTTTTTTGTGGGGTTTTTCTGAGTCTTGTGTTTACGTGAACAAGCCTGAGACCCTGGAAGCCCTCAAGGACAACATTAGACACGAGTGCCAGAATCTGTCGCCCGAAGATCTCGCCGAAGTGATGAAAAATGCCATAAAATGAGCCCGTATAGTAATCAATTGTGACGGCGCCCATTTGGCCGATATCATCTTCTCGACTTGACCAATAAAATTCTAAAGGTTCAAATAAACATAATCAAAAAACGGAATCGAAGCTTTTCATTTAGAAAAAAAATGAGAGCCAACTAACATCGGATGACTTCTTTTGGCCCACCTTTTACATGTTTCATTATCGAGATAAGTATAGGGTGTTTCATCAATTCTGATCATTTCTTTGAAGGCTCATGGCATACGAATTACCTGGTATATATTTTTTGAATTTGGTAGACGTGTTTTCCCACAGTTACCCCAGCGACTTGTATATACGTCAGAAAAAAAAATACAGGCCCGGATTAACAAAAATTCAATTGAATTTACAAAATCCGCTTACATATCTGAAAAGGGCATAAAATGTTGAATGGATTTGTGTACTTTTCATGTTTCCGCATGCTATTTTACTACTGAATTCCTGAAGCTGCAATGAAGGATTTGTGAATTTCAATAGCTAAAAACGGAATATTTTCAGTTCTTCATATCGAATTATGAAAATGTTGCAATTCTACAACTCATTTCATTCCATTCAATAGTCGTTGTCTGTATTTTTATGCCAGTGTATATTCACAGATCCTTACTTTATTCATGTACCTATATTTATTTGTTTGTTTCCATGCACCCTTCATGTGGATTCACATATTTCAATATTTCTATTGTTTTGATGTGATAATTCCACTCACCTATTCGTGGAAACAATTGCAACAAATCCAACTCGAAATCCAACCATCAGTTGAAAAATTTCGAATTCCTAAATCAAACCGATTCAAACGAAATTCGCTGCAGAAAATTTTTATTCGGAGTATAAATCAATTATGCCATATTTAAAACATCCATCGTTTGAATCAGGGGAAATTTGCGCATATTCATGCTGAACATTTATCTGCAAAATAAAATCGATGTCATTTTTATTTTTTAAATTATTCGAAAAAAACGAACATTTTTAATTTTCGGTTTCAATTTTTCAAGCGAAAACCTTTAACAGACCTAGACGTTTCTGACCAGGACATTCTTGAGGGACTTTTTCACAAGGAATCTGAATCTGTCATCGTATTTTCCATGACGTTCTGGATGCCAAAGTTACAACACTCAACTTTGTTTTTTCTTATGGGTGCCATATCGGATTTTTGCATTTTTGAAAATTCTTCTTTTTTTTATTACAATGATGTATCACGCGATATGATCGAATCTTTCATGTTGATCAAAACTGACAAAAAAACATTTTTGCGAAGAGTGCTTTGGAAGGAACGCCAACAGTTTTGTTTAACAAACTGAATTTTGACAGTTCAATTGAAAATGCGAACAGAACTGTTGAATTCTTAAGCTTATCCACATAACGCAAGAAGGGTTGCCGAGTGTCTGTCTGATATATTCACTGACAAGGTAATTTCCAACAACGGAGACATACGTTGGCCAGCGCGGTCACCTGATCTCTCTCCGCTGGATTATTATTCATTGGGAAGTTATGAAAGATTTGATTTTCAAAACTGTACTGATCGATATTGATGAGCTGAGAAGAACCATAATCACCAATTTCAGGATTAAGATAAGAAGACGGAACATCTCTCGAGCAATTCAGAATCTGCGGAAACGCGTAGAATTGTGTTTAGACTTTGTTTTGTTTTGCGAAGAATAAACTTCTAGCTCATTACGTCGTTCCTAATTCGAATCCATAGTTTTTGAGTAGATGAAATTGACGAAAATGTGAGCGTTCCAGATCCCAATTCAAATAAACTGTCGAAATTCAGCTATTTAAACAAAACTGTTGGCGTTCTTTCCAAAGCAATCTTCGCAAAAATGTTTCTTCACATTTTTGATTAGCAGGAAATGTTCGATCATATCTTGTGATACATATCATTATCGTAATAAAAAAAAAGAATTTTCAAATATGTAAAAATCCAATATGGCGCCCATTAGAAAAAACAAGGTTGTGTGTTGTAACTTTGGCATCAAGAATGTTATGGGAATTACAATGACAGATTCAGATTTCTTGAAAAAAAGTGCCCTAAGAATGTTCCAGTCAGAAACTTCTGGGTCATTTGGTTTCCGCTTGAAAAAATATAAACGAAAATTAAAAATTTTCGTTTTTTTTTTTTAGAACAATTTTTAGCATGAGAATGCGCAACTTTGCGCTGATTCAACCGACCTCGTATCTCTTCTAATAACTGAGATCCCCATGGTGGAGCTCAAAAAACGGATATGATAGTACCAAATCGCATTTTATAGAAAAATTTATATTCTTTTTTTTATAATGTGCTGTGTTTTATTCTAAATAGATTCTGGTTCCCACGAAAAGGGATATCCTGTAATGTTCAGAGAACATCGTGAGAACCAAGGGAAATAAGGTAGGAATTGGTGTTTTTCTTGAATTTCTGGAGGTTATTTGCCTCGGGAACATCTATCCCTTGGCAATGTGTTCCAGAGTCTCGATGTTCGTTGGATGAACGAGTCTTTGGAAAGTAGATATTCTGCTGGTCTCCAAATTTTCAAAAATTCCGCCTGCGAGCTCCCTGATCGCTTTGCTCGCTGTAGCGACTTCTAGCGACATTTCTTGTTCAGCAGCTGGCAACACTGGTATCCTTATTTTAATGAATGAAGGTTTGAAGGTTATCGAGTTATCGTTCCGACGTTCCGTTATCTCTAATCGTTATCAGAAAAAAAAATATCACATCATTTTTGTAATTATGTTATAATTGAAAACTTTGGTTATTCTAGAAACGGTAGAAATATTATACTCGAATAGAATATTTCATTAATGTTGATAGTTATTGAACATTATTCCATAACTCTGTTTTTCAGTTAATAAAGGCATTGTATTTCTAGAATATAGATATATTCACAAATAATTATGACTAGCTGCTCGACTGTTCGAAAAATGTTTCTTATGAAAGTAGGCTATTTGAGAAATGTGAGATATTTAACAGATTCAGTCGCCGGTAAGTACACAAGTTAGGATAGATGTATAAAAAGGTGATAGAAAGTCAAATAGTATAGGCACGCATAGGTATATACAAGGTGATTCAGTGCCTAAGTGGCTCAGTGCCGAGAGCTTATCAGTTTCAGAATATTCAGCAACTAAGCAGTAAGCAGATATTGTCTTTCCACTTTTCAGTAAGTTCAATATAGTTCATCCAGCTGCTCCGACAAGGAATAATGTCAAGTTATCCACTGTCCACACTTTCCGACTCACACTCCCTGACGAGTAGAAAAAATTATGTGATATACAGAATACCAGATTCGACCCCGTTACAGTGTTGTCAATTTTTCACGTTCGGTATTAGATTTCTTCTTGTCATTATAATCATATCATACTCTATTTCTCCATTGGTTTAGTGAATATTGAGTAGTACTTTAAGAAGTACCTAATAATCAGAAGACATATATATCTACATACATTAGGTTCATTTGCTTGTTTCTTGGCCCCTACAAATAGTCCAATAAATAAAGGGAAAAAGTTAATATTAATTACGCACTATTTTCATCTTGCGGTTGGAAGTAGCTTTTGGTACCTCATTAAACATGACACAAAGTTTGACTGGAAAACGCGTGCGATGGCGGAGAAAATGGCCCTAAAAAACCAGGAAAATAGGTTTTCAGCCAATATCTCCTAAAGTATGGCAGTTAGAGATTTTTGGTTCAGGCAAAAATTGAAGTTCAGTTAATTTTCTACAAAAATGGTCCTTATCATTTTTCTCGAAAATTTGCCCGTTTTCGAGAAAAACGGCACGAAGCGCACCTCGAATAATGAGCTTCTGTTGTATGCCGGAGAGCACAGTCCGTGTATTTACACATCGGCGGGGGGACAAATTAGTCAATAACTTTGTTAAAAATGCATATTTTCTCATGATTCAAAGTTCATGTGAAAGAGGGGCGGTGGAGTTTTTTCATTTTCCATTGTCACTCGAAATAAGGGCTTTCCATCTTCTTCATTATTATATGTATCTTTTCGGTCGAGTAACCGACAAAAATTATCACCCACTCCTATGTATAGATTGCTTGCGGACATTTCCGTATACAAGGAAAGACAATGCCAGAGGACGAACGGGGAAATATGGAGACTGTATAGTACCATCCTGCCAGCGATGCTTCGTATAGTGCATGATTTCGAGTGACTTCGAGAATGGGAAGGATTCTGCCGCTTGGTGTGTGATGAGAACTCGACCTCCCTGCCGATTGATCAACGGACGACCAGTGTTGGGCACGTAACCCAGAGGTTGTGAGTTCGACTCTCACACGGGGCGGTGGAGTTTTTTCATTTTCCATTGTCACTCGAAATAAGGGCTTCCCATCATCTTCATTATTATATGTATCTTTTCGGTCGAGTAACCGACAAAAATTATCACCCACTCCTATGATGTTCTTGTGCCAAAATGGAAAAATAAAACAAGGTTTCTCCTATTATGATCATGTCCTTGACAATTCACTTTTAGAAAATCATAAACTCAGGTTTATAAAACCTACCGTAGATATATACTTGAAAATAAAGTTGTATCACCTTGAAAGACAACAAACTGAGTTCATGAGAGGGCTGACAATTCGACAAAAAATGAACAAATTTCCCACCAAAAATCAATAACTATTGTGACAGAGTTTCAAGAAAATTTACATTTTCTCTTCTCTAGATTTTTAGCTCGGCAAAATAACGCTGAAGTATTTTGTGTTCAAATGTCAACATTTGATGACAGTCTTCGAAAAACGTAAATTCTCATAGTATTATACATTATAATACAACATAGGTACTTCAATGGGCAAGAAATAATCGTTAATTGCCAATACCGGCCCTGGTTTCAATATAAGTGCGCATGCTCACAACCTCAAATCCGCCATGTCTGCGCGAGGTTCTAATGAGCGTATTATTGATATCATGCATCGGCATTCCATTTGTAGGGTTATAGTTCAGTGGTTACTGGTTACATATTGCCATTCTGACAAAGTAATATTTGATTTATATCCATAAATTTATGAATTTCACACATTCTTATACAGTTCTTATTCATCATATTTACTGCAATCTCTTCCATTGCGTAAAATCAAATCCCCATTTCGTTTCAATCTAATTGTACATTACATTTCAGCGAGACTGACATAAGTAATAAGAGTTTTCTCTTGTGTCCACACAAATCCTACTCAATCTATTGATCGATACAGCTACTATATAATAATTATAAATATATACCGGAGTATGCCAAATCCTTTCATACAGCCATTATCTCAGTTATGTTGCTTGGAAAAAAGTTGAAGAAAATACACTTGTCAAACCCTAATTGATCATTCTAGAACATGTGATTTTGACATGGTTTCTTGAGGGGCACACAAAGTATTTGTTAGGTTACCTTTGATGAGCATCCCTGCCACATCCACAATATAATAACAGTTTCACCATACAAAATTATGAAATTCTTTGCAATGTTTGCCCCTCAGCAACCTGTCAAATGATGTAATCCTGGAATGATGAATAACTTTGAAGCAATTGTGTCAAAATCAACTTCTGTTTTACTACCCCTGAAACACCACTCCCAACTCTATTCTTTCAAGTTACTCCCTATACATTTCTTTGTTTATTAGTGAAGTGCAATCAATTCTTACTTCAACGTTGTGTCACACATCACAATTGATAATTTGACGTACGTGTAATACTTCCAAAATTACACATTCGAAGGAAATAATATCCAGGTTGTAGATCATTTTATTTGTTATGTTTTTTTTCGACAGGAGAAAGAGTCCAAATCAGTTTTTTCGAATGAATCACCTTTTATATTTTCAATTCTACTTGCATTTTTGAAGTTTTTTCCACCTCGTATAGTTGAAGCTCTAGGTAGAGGTCAAAATATAAAGGGACACCCTGTACATCCAACGTTTACTCAATATTCTGTTAATTATTGGATGTCAGTCAAATTATGATGTGTGATGATACATCGTTGAAGTTGTAATCGATTGCACTTCACATATCAACAAATAATGTATAGGATGTGACTTGAAAATATGAAGTTAGGGTGGTTTTTTAGGGGTAGTTTGACAGAAGTTGACTTTGACACAATGGATTCAAAGTCATTTGGGTTTGATAAATGTGCACCATTTTTTCCAAGCAGCATAACTTAGATATCGGCTGTATGAAAAGATCTGGGACCCCCGGTATTATATGTATACAGGTTGTCTCAACTCCATTTATACACGCATTTTCTCGAAAACGAAAACATTCTGAAAAAACTGGCATAAAGAAGAGTGTTGCAAAAAATTAGTCATTAAAACTACCCCTCTTTCCCACTCGAGGAGACGCTATATGCACTCCCATCCAAAACTGGAAGACAAAGAAATGAATGTAGGCGTACTCTTCCCTGAACATGTAGAGGAAGGAAGATGCGAGAAGCCTAATCTGAGCGAAAAACATATTGCCCTGTCTAAAAAAAACATGATTTGCTTCAAAATCGTTTCGGACTTCTGGTTAATTATGTCTCACTGTCACTGCTTGTGAGTCTCCGTACTCCAATGGGTTGCGTGCAAGACTGTCAGATGACCGACCCTGGAGGTGAAACATTGAAACACAACCTCACTTTTCAACTGATCGAAATAGTTTTTCACAATTATTATTTTGACATACGAATCGAGTTTTTCGGCTATTCAATAATTTGCGCATGCCATCATATTGTGCTGTTGTACAATGCACAAAAAATGCAGCAGAAAACGAAGAAATCCGGTTGGTACATTATGATTCAAAAGTGAGTACCTACTATTATAGTCACTCACATATAGTTCTCATTTTGAAATTTGGTAATTTCTCTGAATCCTCATCGGAATTCCTTCTGCAATAGGAGGTAATAGAAATACTCGTGAAATTTTCAAAATAATGCAAGGAGATTGGATTCATGCAATCAACCGGGAGGGCTGGTTTGACATGCTGACGAAATATGATCGTGTGTGTTGTAGACATTTTCAATCTCTTAGCAGTATTAGCTTCTATTGCAGAAGTGGCAGAAGGTATTTTAATAAGAAATGAAAAAAATTACTAATGAAAGCTATGTAAGATTTGAGACAGAACGTCCTCAGGGTGCTCGTAGTTTGGCAGGAAATAGCAAATCGTACACGAGAAAGGTAGGTTTATTCAAACAACCGCTAAAATAACATAAAAACCGGTTCACACACATCATTCAAAAACTCACTCTTGAGCTTACCTAAAATAAAACCAGTCGCTTCTGCGAATGAAACAATACTTATAATATTCTCAATCAGATTTAACAACCACCAGGCTGTTATCTATCGCAGTTGGATACATTTTTTAATCGAAAACAATGTTTCTGATGTGATGGCTTTTCATCAGCAGAATGGTTCTGCTGAACGCAAAACCCAAAAGCAAAAAAGTATGGCCCGGAAAAAACACAAAAACGACTCGTCGCTCGAACCGTGATGAATGATAGACATGAATTTTTATGACCAGTGACAGTGAAAGACATAAAGCAATATATATACTACACATTACAAAACTTAAGAGTGTCAACTGAACGCTCCGTTACAGATTACTTTTTACTTGAAAAATCACATTCCTTCGTCTCTCGCTGCATTTTTTGTGTATTGCATGTACAACAGCACAATGAGAAGGCATGCTTGAATTGATGAATTGCGCAAAAAACACGATTCGTATGCCGAAACATTGTGAAAAACTATTTCAATCCTTTGATTCCTCTGTAAACAAATAAAAAAGTGTGGTTGTGTTTCAATGTTTTACAGAAAACCTATGTACAAAAACGTCGAAATAGTAGTTATATGTCGGCGGCTAAGTGGATACATTAAGGAACTCTACTGTCTAATAGATGAGCATCGTCAGCAAGAGAAAATCAATGGCTACAGCCGAAGATATGAAAAATCTCGATGATATTTGTTATAGCCGTAGTAGCTTATGTTTGTGGTTTGTGGTCGAACTTCGCAACACCCGTTTATAGCTCTTCTCCTTTTGTTGCATTTTTCAGGTAATTATCAGTACATCAAAGTATCCAAAGTGGGCAGCCGAAGCAATGTGGGGCTGATCCAGCTGAACAGGCCGAAGGCGCTGAACGCCCTTTGCAACCCTCTGTTGAAAGAGGTGGCCCAAGCGATGACGGCGTTCGGAAAGGATTCGTCTGTCGGTGCCATCGTCCTCACGGGGAACGAGAAGGCCTTTGCGGCCGGCGCAGACATCAAAGAAATGGAGGACAAGACGTATGCGAGTTGGATGACGAGCAACATGCACCAAGATCTTGATTGCGTGGCGAAAGTGCGTAAGCCGGTCATCGCGGCTGTGAATGGCTTTGCTGTAAGTACCTAGTGTAATGTATTCATATGCAGTATATGCCCTGTATGTATTCAGGTGGCCGTGGGCCCACATGTACTCACGGCGTCGGGGTGGGGGTAGCCTCTGGTCATTCCAGACACCACTGGTTAAGAGCTTGAGGTCCCCACTCTTGTCATGGTAGCGGTACGTGGTAAAGGTCGCGAACGGACACCCATCAAACAGGACTTGAGGATTCCGGTCGACATGGGTAGATGGGCTTGCTCAGCGAAAACTGGAGCTCTGGTGTACACAAGGTACAAGGTACAAGGCACAAGGTCTTAGTTCGTCAGGGAGGGGGCAGCCCGAAGCGATCCTACCGCCAGTCATCGTAGGCAAAGTCGGGTTCTCTCCTGTAAACGAAGTAGAGGAACGTGTGAAAGTCCTCGAACGATCACTCATTCAACGGGACGAGAGGATTCTTGTCAACATGAGTAGCAATAGGCCAAAGCCTCTTGCGACGGTAACCAATATCAAACGTAACAAGAGGAGTCTTGTTGACATGGGTACCTGGGGTGATGAGGATAGCCCCATCAGGCCGTACAAACGGCCGGGTGCCTCACCAATTGGGTTGGACTCCTGGGGCCCGATTCTCGAATCTGTAGGAATTTGATCCTATAGGAGAATGATCCAATGCTTTCAGTTCTCATAGGAAATGATAATTTGCCATGACACCTATTCTGGAACCAGATGGAATCGTTTTTCCCAGGGGATTGAAAAAGTGCCGTATGTCGCAGATAGATTCTTGAACTTGAATGAATTCACCAATGAAATAAGTGGAAATCATGTTGGTAACTCTGGTGGATGATTAAAATGAAATGGTGACATTTTGATTTTGACTAATTTTGAGGTTACTGTGAGATTTTTTTGTGTATTGTATATTTCCTCTGCTCGAAATGGATATGGATACAAACAACAATATTGAAAACCCACGTGGTGGTATTATTAGCAAAGAGCAGACAAGACTTTTGATAGAAATAATGGAGGCCTCAGAGGACTTGGGGAAAGGAAAATTTCACCCCCAATTCACTTACAAGGATTCTAAAGTACCTATCAATTTTCTAGTAATGTCTTTGGACAAACGAAAAACTTTAATGAATTGTGCAGCATACAATCACTCAAATAGGTCCCTTCTAGGCGAAAACCTTCTTGGTCTTCTAGCAAGGATTTCAGCCACTTCCAAATTTTGTAAAGCCTCTAGATGAGCTATTTCATCTATGTTTGCCATGTTTTGCAATACATATGTTTTTCCGATTTTTCACTAAGGTTCAGTTCCCATCACAAATGAGAATAACTTAGTATTTCATGAGTGTATCCCATGGGAAACATGTTGTTCCCGTGGGTATTACCATGGGAAGCAGTTCCCTTGAAATGTGTAGGAATAGGTTCCTATACAATATTTCAAGAATACATCATCTCAAATTTCCATGGGAAATATCGAGTTTTTCCAATGGGAATGAATTCCAATGAATTCGAGAATCGGGCCCCTGGGGGCAGCGGTTTCCAAAAAACATCACCGGACTACTGCTGTCGAAAGATAGGGGCCGGCAGTCATCCCTAAAGGGAGTATTGTGAGAGGGGGGTGGAAATTGGTCCCACCCGATTGCTACCCCAGCAATACAGATTATTTATTTATTATTATGTATGTATACAGGGATATATAAGTGGCGACGTTGGATGACATCAGTCAGTGACATAATTAGGAACTTGTCATAAGTTATGCTAAATGTTAACTAATAAATATATTCCCAAGGCTCCATATTATTGATCACAAATATTATTCCTAGATACACAATATTGTACGCTGCACTCAAACTGTCGTTAAACGATAGCCTACTGAAATGTCGTTAACAGATATGACGTCATTGAAGAGTTATTTTGTATATAATTAGGTTACTCCTATAGGTATGCATGATCTAAAATTTGTTTTTTTACATTGGACAAATGGCCCGAATGTGCCCCATTGTTATTGTTAAATGGGTCATATATATATGATAACCTATAAAGTATTGTCCAATTTTAATTCAATATAATTTTACCGTTTTATGTATGATATGGCGTGGAACAGTTTCTACAAAGTGGTATTGACACATTCTCCTCATCATCGCCGCCGTCGATTTCTTTATCTTGTTGACCATCCGAATCAGAAGATGATGTCTCTGTCTCGTAATTTTTGTCGAGGTCGTCATCGGTTTCAAAGGGGTCTGGCTCATATTCAGTATCAAACTTCTATAAATGCATTCGAATAATCACCTACTTACCCAAAAACTCGATGAAATCAATACCATACAACACGAATGAAAATAAATGACTGACTGACTTCCCGAGGCGATTCCGTCTTGCCAATTCTGTTTTGTTTTTATGCTTTCGCACGAAGAATACCAGTAAAGCAAAAATCCGTTGAAACAGGAACGCATTCATACCAGTAAATATTTATAAATTTACAGTGGAACATATATATCCCCATGGGGCTGAAAGGGTCGAACGGTAGTCTACTAAAATGCCGGTATTCTATCCAACTATTGCTTCATCTGACAGCTTAGCATATCGTAATCAGAGTCAGTATATTGTATCACAATAACAATAATCAGTCCATGTTCTACTCTGACTAGATTGAACTTGGAACAGAGTTTATACCTGTTGTTTTGCCGGTATCGATTTGTGGTGTTATTTCCTATAAAATGTAAAATATGGCATTCACGTTCAAACTTTCAAATACTAAGAAATGAAAGAATGTAACTGGTTTCGATTTGGATCGCCTAATAGACAATCCTGCACAATGAATATGTCTCCATTGAAGGCACCCACTACAACAAAGTGCCTTAAAGGCTGTCTGTCTTCACAGCACACAGAACAAGGCCTACGTTGCTAACGTCGTTCCTGCTTGACTAGATAGTTTCCTATGTGGAAAAACTTCTAAAAATAGGAATTTACATCGTTATAGGGTATAGCTATTAGGTTTGTTAAATAGAACGAATTATTGTAAGACCATTGAATAAAAGCTGTCAGTCGCGTCAACGCAGTGACGTCAATCTAATAACGGCAATTTAGTAAGCTACCGTTAACGGCAGTTTAAGCAAATCCATTAACGTGCCGTTAGACATGCGTTAGACGCGTCACTTCAAGTACGTCATATATATATTAACGGCATTTTAGTAGGCTACCGTTTGGCGGCAGTTTAAGTACAGCGATAATCGTATTATTATGGCAATATTCAGAATTCATAATTGTCACTTGTCCGTAGTGAATCTGCAGCTGGTTTACCATTCTGGAATCAACAAAGTTCACTGGAAGTGACATATCTTCAGAGCTGGTATAGGACACTATTTATTCTGAATCTTTTTCAAGGGTGCGTTCGATTGTTGTTTCTCAGGGTAAGGTTACTTGAAAGTCAGGTTACAATTGAGTTAATTACTATTCCATGTAGTATTCGAACGAACGGACATTGTAGCTAGTTTATTGACATCCTAAATTAACATTGGAAATGAGGGTTATGTTTGTCGAGCTGCAAGTTTAATTCAGTTCAATATGTCATGAATGATAGATTCATAAAGGAATAATAGGAAATCTCATTTTCCAGTTGGGAGTCACGCATACCTACCTTAAGTCACCTCAGTGTCACTTTCTGAAGATTTTATGATTTCTTTTCGATTCAAAATATAATTTCGTTGAATTAAAAAATTGTATGTGTTCCTTTTTGTAATATGTAATCAAGAAAAATTATAGAACGGGGCTCTACATCTACACGGTCATCTACATAATACATATACAGACTGATATTGAAACGTTCATTTCATTTAAATCCCAGTTTGTCACAATATCCTCCAGATGACCTCACAAAGTTCATTTGTAAATTACCACATACTGACACGAGATTGGAGTGGAAATAACTATTAGAGATCTACGTAAATTAGTGAAAGGGTCAATAAATTATTTTATTTGTGATTCATTTCAGCTTGGTGGAGGATGTGAAATGGCAATGATGTGTGATATCATTTATGCCGGCGAGAAATCAAGATTTGGGCAGCCTGAAATTCTTCTGGGAATTATTCCTGGAGCAGGAGGCACTCAAAGGCTCATAAGATCTGTTGGGAAATCGAAGGCAATGGAGATGGTGCTAACAGGTTAGACACATTCTTTCTTGAAATTCATTAAGATTCAAGAAGGTAGGTACATACCTTTGTAGAGAACTGATATAGCTGAGGGCTTTTTGGGATCTGAAACCCGAATACGACACCCTATTACTGTGGCCATAGAGGGCACTTACAGATGCACTTCTTTATGGTTTGGAATGGTCATAAATTTTTTATCAGTGAAGTTTTTAACTTTTTTTGTTGAGGAAATGTTTTTCTAAATATTTTCAAGCAAAAAGAGGTGCTCTTGTGAAAATTCGCTAAATTGAGCCGTTTTCGAGATATTTTGGTTTTTAAAGTTCGATGCCGCACCGGAATATTTAAATTGTTTACAATAAGAAATGTCAGCTGTTCTCTTCGTGGATGTTATTTGGTCAGGGAACGAGCAGTGCAAAAATTGATTTTTTAAGACACCTTTTTGGAGTGTGCTTGGCAATTTGACCACCCTGTATCTCGTAAACAATGAAATTTCGGACTGAAATAATTTGCATTGAATCAGCTTATTTTGACCTCAGGACTATGTGCTGAGATTTTGTACAGATCTTTCAGGGACACCCTGTATATATACGCTTGGCAAGAATAAATTTTCTATAGAGAAACCGTGTGAATCAAATACTCATATAGAGTCATGGTTATTCAAAATAGAGTAAAAAAAAACGTCGTTGCTCCACCTGCTCGAGTATATAGCACGTGTGGCAAACGATAATAATAGACAAGAGTCTCGAGATCATACCCGTGTGTTCACCGAACACGCCCGATCGTTCCCTAAGCGGTGGGGAAACGTAAACGGGCAGCAGTAACTACGTTATGAATATTGGCGCGTGCCTGAATTATTTTGGAGTCAAATTTGACAATTTAATGTACTTCGAAACGGAACACTAGTAGTTGTGTCTTCTTGTTTTACATATATTATATGTAGACATCAAATCAATAAACATAGTGCTCTCGCCATCGGTATTTGCTGAACTTCGCTATGGGAAAAATGTTGAATAACTATATTGGGATGAAGAATGATCTATACAGGGTGTATCTAAATAACACCGAAATAATTCAAGGGATGATTCCTTGTGATATAATATGATGAATAAAGGTCATATAAACATGTGTTCTAAACTTGCTTCGTTTTCGAGGTACAGGGTTACGTCCTGATTTCGAATCCGAAGTGATTTTCAACCTATCTTGCCTCCTTATATCATTTTCCGGAAATGTTGGTGGGTTCATGACCAGAGCAGTGGTTTTCACTGAAGATTACCTCACTTTGGTCATAGTTGGTATATATATCTAGCGCTCCTTAAAATTGAACAGTTACGTTAGATATACGGGTTGATATTCCATTATAGAAGTGACATGCACACTGTTTATATTTTTAAATACATCCAGTGGGATTGAATTTTATTTTATGTTGAATATTAGAGTGTGTTTTTTTATGTGATATATTTGTTTTGGTTATTTCAAATATATATATATTTTTTTAGTAGGCATACTATTACTTCTTTTATATAATTCTGAAATCTGATCCACCCTGTATTTATTTCAATTAAATGGCATCAGTAGATAGTAAATAGAATGTTAGGATAGGGACACATGTAAGCCATTTTGACAAATCAATATAGGTATTGTATAGTTTCGATACAGAAAAAATCTCGATTTTTCACATTCTACGTATAGGTATACCTTGAGCTTGATCAACGAAATCATAGCTCAATTAGAAGAATCGAAAAATGTAATAAAATATAAGGTGTTCCATTTTGAATAACAAAGCTGCTACTATACTATACTACTAAGTACCACATAACTACTAATAATAATTTCTAGTGAAGCAGATGAACATTATCGAAAATAATTCGAATAAAACGAGCGTCCTCGCCAACAAAACATAAGCATATAATATGTACATATAGTTTCATGATTTTCGATGAGTGGTTCGCTATTTACAAGTAGGACTCGTCGTGACATAGCGAATTATTGCAAATCAAAACATCGCTTTCATTATCTGATAGGTCGCAGTAGATCACTTGATGCCTATCAAATGTTTCTTATTTATTCGAAAAAAAAAAAAAATGTTGAAATGTGATCAAGAAAACTGTTGGTGGCCCACCCCGTACTACAAAAACAAAGACAGCATGAGAGAAGCTGCCTGCCCACTGACTCGGTCTCCCCACCGCTTAGGTAACGATCGAGCGTGTTCGGTGAACACACGGGTATGATCTCGAGACTCTTGTTAATAATAGAGTCTTGCCATAGCACCATAGCGAGGTAATATTGCGCCTCACTCGCTGGACGCGAGAAACTGAAAATTTTCGGCCGATCCTGAGAAGAAACATAATTGAAATAGCGAATCACTACTGGCCTAACCATTAAATGCGTCCGTAGTATTTTTTCGATTGATTACTCCTAAAAAAAAATGATAAAAGTGATTAGCTGGAGTAGGGATCGAACCCCGGTCTTTTCGAGGACGAAACACTACTTCAATGACCACCACGCTTCTAGACGAACAATTTTATAGGCTCTTGACTTGCCACCGTGGCAATATTTTCCGTATAGTGGTGCTATGGCTAGGCTCTAATAACGATAATCCCTTCGGTCGGGGCGAAAAATGGACTCGAAGGAGGAGTTAGCCACAGAACACAGAACTCTAATAAGAGACCTAGAAGGCTAATGCAAGTGTGGTTTAATCTCTGAAATCTGATGCAACCAGGGTGCTTACGGTAATGGTGATCATGCGCACATTGTCGGCAACATTGTCAGTTATATATTTTTTTACGCAAATCTCATATTTATGCATTAGGATCTAAGTTCATATCTCTCATACAACTTCGTGTAAATGATGATCAACAGCTTTATAAAAATCATAAATAAAACTTTCGCGACAGAATTCATATACTCACTGATATTAATTGAATGGCTAACAAGAGATCGAAGAATTATTATGAACTTCTTATTTCTTACGAGTTCATCTGGCAACTTTGTAAGAATGTACCTCTGTCATTTTGTCTGACGTAGACTTATGACAGAGCCGAATTAGTTTCAGTTTTTAAGTGTTTTGCTTTGGGTCTAACATCTTTTTTCTGCAACCGACACAAAAGTCGTCCATTTTGATACCAAAATTAGCTCTTAAATTGACGTTTCTATTACTGACACAAAAATAGGTATGTTGCTAGGCAACATATTTAGTTCCTAGGAGCTAAAGTTGAATTTTAGTTCCTAGGAGCTAAAGTTGAACTTTAGCTCCTAGGAACTAAAAAGGATCTACTGGACGTCATCAAGAATAAACAACATTGTGACGGTTGGTTATTTGGGTTGAGACGCATACCTTATTTGTTTCCGCTCTCAGCAGATTTCGGCAGATTTGGCATTTCATACCCATGCTGGAGATATAAATACACCTTTATTATAGTTTAGTATTGGAATTATAAACATCTCAGTTAAGTATTTTTGTTTTGATCAGGGAAACCTTCAAGATTCAAATACCTACTTGCTTGATCTGTATTTCATTCGTTATTCTCGGGATGGATAACTTGTTTTTGAATAATCACGGCAAGCAATAGTTTTTTTGTCTCAAACAACGATATTGTTTAGCTTCATTTTGATCATCAAGTCAAACACAGTGTTGTATGGAGAGGAATAAATAATCACTATTATCATTGTTGATATGCTCACTAACCTAACATTTTCCACGTCTTGTTCCTATAGCTGGCACTGGCACGGTATTTGCCATTAGAGCACCTGGTCCATACACAAATATGTCACTCTGTGGTTGTATTTATATTGAAACTACAATTTGAACATCCTAGAAAACCTAACCTAACCTGCTGTTAATGCAGGTAGAATATTCTCACCACATGGATTATTTGTCAATATTTGTTGCATTGCTTACATATGGCACGGCATTGGTGGTTACTTCACATGTTTATTTGAGTTAATTGTTTCGGTTGCAGAAAAAATAGCATGTTTCATTCGGATCAAAAGTGACTTATTTGTTCGACTCGCAAACTTGTCAAACAAAGTGTCACTTTTGATCCTAATAAAACAATCTACTATGCTGGTGGCCGTGAGCGTAGAGTCGCTGGCTGTTGCCCAGGCGGTCCGGGTTCGATCCCCGGCGCGAGCACTGAATTAATTTTCGGTAGTTTCGTTGGGCGGGAGGAGATAGGTGGCCAACCCAACATTCTTGGTACCTAGATATCAATCCTTTGGACTGTCCACGGTTACCAGCCGAGTAGTGCTTCGGATGACACTTAAAAAGCTAAGGTCCCCGTCTTCTTAACTCACACAAGTCTCTGACTTTCGAGGGTTGCTTTGCAACTAAGCTGGCGGTTAAAAAACACTTTTAAACACTTTTTTTTTAAACTATTGTTAGTGAATTTGAGATTATTGAAGAGTTCTGGTATTTAACTCCAGTTTGGGTGGTTTATTGTAGTCATAGTAACAAGTACAGTACTCATTTGATTCGACATTCATTGACTAATTTGTGTACAGTGTTTTCAAAATGAATATGATTTGGTGTCAAGATAAAGAACACATTCCAGAAACGTCTTACTTCAGTTGAATTATAGTCAACAAGCTTTGTGCTATTATATTTTTTTTCTATAGCTGTAACACAAAATGGCTCTTGTTTTACTATGTTCGATAAATCAATGGGGTACTTTGTATGCCATATCGATGTTATTTCCGCATCTGATATCACAATGACTTTCATTGTTTTATTATTTCACAAAATCGCATCTCCTATGAAATGTCAAATTTTCTTCTCATATGATCAACAGCATGCGCCTACGGCTCATTCCGTGCTCGTTAAACAATATACTATTTTGTTGTCATGATTATATATTACCAAAACTGAAATATCTGGCAAGAAGTTACTGACCGCTGGAATTGATGATATTGAATCAAGTTTTGGGCAAACCAAGAGTTGCCACGTTGGTTAGATGATTGCCTTGGTTCAAGATGCCACTGTTGAGAAGTTGAGTCCTGTTTTTTTCAACAACTGAACTATCCAATTTTCGCGAGGTCTCGTTTTCTTTTGAGATTTCAATTAACTCGTAAATGAAGCCGAAATTCCACAAGAATGCCTTTCTTCCAGAATTGAACAGGGAATTTGTGAAAATATCTCAATTCTGAAAAATCTCCAGTAGTTTAATAAATTGGACGGCAAAAGTAAAACAACTCCCCTGTATCTATACTCCACTGGACAATATTGACAAAACTTAGTTGCGTCAAACAACGATCAGAGTAACCATTTCATAAATATTTGCGCTAAATTTTGTTTTATGTCTTAAGAATTATAACAAGAAAACGATTTTTGAAACTGCACTTCAGAGGGATGTATCTCCCTTAAAAGTGTTTTTTTTTTTCAAATTATAATATGCATGCTGATTTATTTTTTGATGATCCATAGTGAATTATTGCTAGTATAGCCTGAATCACCCTGTAGCTCACCCATTTTACTCCAAATAAAATACAGGAATCCATCATAATAAATATCATATGAATTTTCAACTATGTTTTGCTCTTTCGAGAAAACCACAGAAACCTGGTAATCAAATAATTCTGAAGTCGCTCCTGGCATGGTCGCGTCTTTACTGCACATGCTCACATTTGCCGTTGAGCCACGTTAGGGAACACTAACACTGAAATAGAACGATATTAGGCCATGTAGGTTTTTCGAGTTCTGTAGAGCGCGAAATGAAGCGTATGGCAACGTCGCCTTTTCGAAATGTACAGGGTTTCTCTATGTAAAGAAAAATTATTCTTGCTACACGTGTATGGCTTTTCAGGACTGATGGCCGATTCATGCAACGATCATTTCAATTACATTTTCATTACAGTTGACCAACTTTAAACTCTCGTTTCAACTATACATTATAATTAATTTATAGTTCCAGTGAAAACGACTGATTTGCAATATTAGATCATTGAATGACCATTTTTTCCACAAAACTATTCAGTGATTACAGTGATCATCCTCAGATATTAAATTCAAGATAAACACATCCTTCAAAATATCAAGTAAACATTTAAAAAAACTAAGCAAATAACATAACTTCGAAAACCTGTCCAGCAAAATTTGTGTAACATCAACTAATGCTTAAGTCATTTGGCTGTAGCTGACAGTAGCTGACTGGTGCTTATAATTCAAGCTGTGAAAAGGAGATATAAATAATAGAACTGCAGACAATTCCTAATACTCGAACTATGTCCAGTTCCATTTCTACAAAATGTTTAGGGTGGATCTTTAATTACCCTTATTAAAATGATCAATTTCTCTATTAACCAAACATAAACCGCGTCGTTTCACGTTCGGGATTATAACTTTTACGGAAATTGTATGTAAGTAAATCGAAAATATGGATGACATCGAAATTTCTTTGAAGGGTATAATCATGTATATATTTTGATGTTGAAAAATGATACATGAAAGAATCTTCCTAGTTTTCAGGGTTTAGGTGCACTTAGAATTTAGAAATGCGCAAACGGTATGACACTTTTTCGGTAGCATATGCATAGCACAAAAACATGTATACTTCTGAAGGGCAGCCTGTGTTTTAAACGAGGAAAAATTATTTTTTCAAATGCAACTACACCTGATCGTGATCATATTTTGGACTCATGCAACCGGTATGCCTTTGTATTTTCAACTTCGAATATCACTAATTTTGAAACACAGGCAGCTTGAATGAAATCGTATATTGAAATGCTCAATTTGTGAACAAATACTGTTAATTAACTTTAATGCATGAAGAACCCGGAAGGATTTTCTTATGTATCATTTTTAACATCAAATATATATGTCATGACGAGCTCACACTATCAGTGTTTTATATCGATATTATCGATAAATCTATATGATCGATATTATCGGTATATCGATAAATTTGCACACACCTAGTGAACACGAAATGATGGAGTTTTCAATAAAAAAATTACACAAAATTGGTTTTATCACATTTGGAGAAAAAATTATATGTTTCACACGGCAGCAAATGTAGATTGACTGTCTTGGCAGATTTCCTAGCCTCGCTACGCTCGGCTATGAAATATCAGCCGCGACAATCAATCTACTACTTTTCTGCCAAGTAAAACAACTATTTCAGGTAATCAGATAACTGCACAAGAAGCCGAAAAGATGGGTTTGGTTAGTAAGCTGTTTCCAGTGGAGAAAGTCTTAGAAGAAAGCATAAAACTTGGAGAAAAAATAGCTAGTAACTCTCAGATCGCAAACATGGTAGCTAAGGAATGTTGCAATGCTGCATATGAAACGACCTTAAAAGAAGGATTACATCTTGAGAAAAGGATGTTCCATGCTACTTTCGCCACAAAAGACCAGAAAGAGGGAATGGCTGCATTCGTCGAAAAAAGAAAAGCTAATTTCACAAATGAATGAATATGTGATTATTGTGTGGATAACTAAATATCTGTGACTTTGTATACCACACTTCACGGTCCAATTCAGTAGGTAATACATTTCAAATGGCTCATTTACAACTGTATCATATATGTATATAGAAATATTATAAATAAATATGGAAGAATTTATTGTATATAAATGCTCAAAATAAAGAGTATGTAATAAATACATGTAATAACTATATATATACAATAATCCTAAAAGTGGCTGCAGAATACACGTATATAAACTATTAGTTTGATAAATATTTATCAGCACGCTACAGTCTGCCTCTTTTCTTGACTGAAACTCGAAAAAACCTATCATTTCTATCAAATATCACTTTCTCAACAGCTGAATCAATGTTTAAACTTAAGCACTGAAAGTCGAATATTCATTCTATGTGTTTTCACTTTTCATTCCATCGACGGAAATCCGCAGCCGTACTGATTATGATATGATAGATGAGAGCGAGATTCAAACAGTTCAATCGACATTTCAGTGGATTTTCGACAATAGTTTGATGTTGAAGAAACTGAAAAAGAGTTGATATTCTCATCACAGAGAGAATGCAAATTCTCAATGTATTGCTTTATATATATATATATATATATATATATATATCCATTTTTTTATGTAAACAATTTATCTGACAATATTCCTTTTCGACACTTTCATACCCAATCAAGGGGTTCAAATTTGAACAATGGAAACTTGTCATTTTTATAGACCTCTAATCACAGGTTCGTGATAGAGTCTCAATTCAGAACTTAGATCATACAGATTATTGTATTAACTTACGATAGTGTTGCGATAGTTCAAAGAAAAACTATCGATAACTATATTGATCAGAAAATTGACATTTGTTAAGGATCATATGGGGTTGTACACACTAGTCGAATTTACGCCACTTACCTATTTCATATTGATCATTCCGTTTATTAATAACAGGTCTTCAACAATGACTGAAAAACACGAGACAGATTATTATGCAACCAAGGATACATTCGTGTCTCTTCTACGTGGGTGGAAACGAGACGCAGCATCAAAAATAGTCACGTGTGGCACTCAATCATTGTTAAAGACCCGGTAGTGTTTGATGCAATCCTTCGTTATTTAATATCATCGCAAGTATATTTTTTCAATGATGAAAATAGACATCACCCTCGAATAACGCCAGCTTCGATGACGCCACATAAACCGAACCGAAAGTCATCGTTATCTGAATTCTGATTGACTATCCATTATGGACGTCCCTCCTGAGTTTTCAATATCAGCATATCGTCATAGTGGTCAAATAAGCTCAAAGCGAATGATTTCTATGTTGTCAGTTTCAGTGCACAATATGCCAAATTTTGATTATATGCCTTCTTTACTACACTTTTTGAATTGAGTACAAACTTACAAACGAAGAAAATAAATATTCTCGTGACCAGTTAGGAAACGCATCATTCCGTGTTTCCCCAGAGAAAATATATTTTTGAGTGGAAAGTGCATTGAGAGAACAAAAAAAAAAGATGTCAATGGCGGGGATTGAAACCGGGTCCTCAGGTGTCGGAAGTGGCAATCCGAAATACAACTCACTGCACGAATCGCTAGTGTGACCAGATTTCGAAAATAGGAAGTACATTTAGTATTTAATCATTATAATAAATCGAAAACAACTGCAGGCGATTTTTTTCATTATTATTTAACCCTGCAGGAGACGCGTCATTAATTTTTACAGCAAAAAGCGCGTTGGGTCTGATATTCTCAAAAGGAGAAAAATCAAATGTTCCAAATAAAATTTTATTTCTGATGATGCGTGTTACATGAATCATTAATATGGACAAGTATAGTAATGAAATGAACGGGAAATTCTTGAAGTTGAAAAATCTCGATATTTCACACCCTATATCTTTGTTATCATTCGCGCTAGACTCCAAGTGTAATAAAACGATGAAATCAGCTCTTTAGGAAGAATCTGAAAATGGAATAATATATAGGGTGTCCCATTCAAAAAATCAAAGATGTTGCTACTTTTCAATATAAGCGGCGACGTCGCAGTGTTCAGAATATTTTAGTTCGATAGAACACAACTAATTATTCGAGAAACCAAATTTTAAGTTAAATCCTTCGTTGCGTTCTCCAGAAACGTCTAATGTGCCATCCACCGTGAATCAGCCTGTATATATAAAAAATACTTACACAGAGGAACGGGTCGGGTTTGCAAGACCTAAATAATCTGCTCAAAAATCATTGTTCTCTGATATACACTGCGTTGAAACTACTGCATGTTATCAAAGGTACTGAGGCTAGTATAAGCACTTCTATGAAAAAATGCCACGAGCAAATGATTGCTTGGGCCTGATAGACCCGATGCTTGCACTGCAGGGTTAGGGTCAGGTTTCTTGAAATTATTCAAGGTCAAATGCCTTTAAATTGAAAATTTTATTTTTCCCTACTTCTGAAACAACTGCCAATTTTTACCAATATTATACCATGTTTACCACAATTATCAATTTTAGTAACTAAACCAGGTACAAATCATCAGGTACACGTATACCTCCATATATCAATAGCCTTAACTGAAGAATGGAGGAGTGATTCTCTATAATTTTTATTCGTTTAATAGGACTAATAAGTTGAGTTATTTATGAACTCACCATATTATTGAAAGAACCATGCAAAGATTATCGAATGACATCGGTTTACGAGTTTTGTTCTAAAGTTTGTTAATATTATTCCTCATTTAAATAATATCAAATTTTGACTACAAATCGTCTGAACGGGACCTCGAAAAAGAGGACATCTACCTCCAAATGAAAAAAGATTGACTTCAAGGATAGCAGCCTCGAAAAAGAATACTTGTACTATAAAAAGAGTACGTCCGGTCCGGTCGTCTGGTCACCCTACCAATCGCTGATTTAAAAATTAGGGAATGTGAAAGGAAAGAATTTCATGTGTTGTGATTTATGATAGGGTTGTGAGATGGTTGCAAGTGCCGCTCGAGATTTCCTAGACCGCTCAGATGTGACTAGCGCTTGCAGAGAGGACACAAGAAATAAATTGCGTGTTGGGGGAACGGAAATGGCTTATGCAGGCAACTGCTTTTGTCGATACACGGACTGAATCCCTTCAAACAACAAATTTCAAGGATCTGGATTGCACAGTGGTTCGAATCGAATTCGATTCCATGTGAGAACGACCTCTTTTTCATTTTGTTCTTGAGTGATTTTTCGAAAAATAGCCTCTTTAGGAAAGAGGTTCATCTAGGTCGAGTTAGGTTAGAATGTTCGAGAAAAGTAGTCTCATTTTTTATTTAGAAACGACATTTTCCTTCCTCGAGAAAAAGGTTCTTTCAGGCCCAGATAGCTCAGATTGTTTAGAAAAAGTGTCCCATTTCATTTTTCCTGCAGAAAGGATATTTTCCCTCCCTATTTAGACTCGATGTTTTGTATATTATTATGTTAGCCAGAATTACAATGGCCAAGTGAGCAACGGGAAAGGAAACGCTAGTCACTTCATGCAATATTCCCTTACCCGCTTTATTACTTGCGTTCTCTTTGCACGCTAGTGATAAATTAACGTTCATGACAACACTTCAACTCTCTAAAATGTGCAATGCAATACCGCATCGAGCGGCTCTAGCCGTATGTAGACTATGAAGCCACTGCTGTAGCGGTATCCATCGGGCACCGACTGAGATGTCTGGCAATTTATGAACATCTCACATGTAATATATTTTTTTCTGTGACGGGAAAAAAGTTTGGCATTTCATCTCTGTTGGCAGGTTATAAAATGTAACTTTTCATAAATTACTTTTTTCCCGTGGGCAAAAAGTGAGTACTTTTTTCCCGGGTATATATCACATATATATACTCTGTTAATGGCTTTTGTTGTGCTATAGTTCCGAAAAATGAGTCAATAATACCGTCTCCGAGAACGAACTGAAAGTCCTTTTATGTTCCATTCGACTTCGCGGTTTCGTATATTACTACTAAACAACTACTGAATTTGCAATTTTTCAAAATCAAATCACAGAATTGAACTGACAGAAGGTGACATCGGATATTTGATTACTTCAAAAGAATGATGAAGATGCCTATAAAACGCAGGTGTCCCTACTGTTAAAAACTTGAAATTTCACGTCGATAATTTTCAGATTTCGAAATAATGTAATATCTTCTCAATATTGATTCGTCCTTCCTTCTGTCACAGAAAAAAATAGTGTATTATACACGGGAAAAATATTAGATTTTAGCTCACGGTTTTTTGTCTCCCTCCGCTACGCGTCGGGAGACAACACAACCTGGAGCTAAAATCTACTACTTTTTTCCCTTGTATAATAAATAACTATATAAATCAGTGGTCGGTGCCGCTGGTGGCCGTTCACGCACGCATGTGTCTCTTGAGTTAACGTTGTGATTGGTCTAAAACCCTGATCATGGACCGTTTCGGGTAGGATTGAATTCGTGCGTTGGAGTCGTGGCAACATGGAGATTGTTGGAGTGTTGACGTTCGGTTGACGCAAGGTTGACGTACTCGTTACCCCTTGGTTACCCCTCGTGCAGCTAACCTCACTTATCTGAAGTTTGCACTTTGCAGTATTTATTTTCTCAAAATGATGGATTCCAAGTACAATGCAGGTACAAGTGGCCAAGTTTCAAAATTTCAGATGAAGATGAAACCCACTCCTATTATATTCAGTAAAACAGGTCCTCCTAGTCCGAAGAAGATCAAACTGTCAAATGAAAATCAGAAACACACCACAAGTAATGGTAATTTCAATAATAGGCCCAAAATCAGCATTCAGGAGCATAGGAGGAAGTTACCTGTATTTGGAAAAAGAAATAAATTATTAGAATTGATAAAAAATCACAATACTTTGATTATATTAGGTGAAACAGGTAGTGGAAAAACAACTCAAATCCCTCAGTATATTTACTCTGCTAGACTACAAGAAAATGGAAAAATTGCTGTCACACAACCCAGGAGGGTGGCTGCAATAAGTGTGGCCATGAGAGTTGCTCAGGAGCATGGACAAGGGGTATGAGAATTCATGTTTTGCTTATTCATCCTAGTGGGGATTTCTTTTTTACACTTCTTGTGTGCTCAACTGACTGTGAAGATGAAACATTCTTCCAATCTAATGTTCAATCCAAACAAAATGATCTTTGCATTTAGAATAGCTAATGAGGAAACTTACTTTACAAGATGCTGAAAAAGAATTTGTCAAATTAATAATAGGGCCAGTTGCATGAAACTTCATCTGAGCTTTAACAACTAAACAAAAAAAATAAGGATATTTTCAAATGCAAACAACATTAAAATGAATAGATAGATAGATACTTTATTAGTTTTTCATTTAAAATACTCACTACTGGAAAATAGATGAACAAACACATCAAAAATACTTAATAGCCAACAAAACATATAAATAAATAGATAAATAAATAAATGATCTATGGTGAGGTTCATGGAGACATATAAATAACAATTCCAAATGAAGTACAATAATTCAACAATAAAATTCATCTAGTGAATAACAGCATTTTTCAATTAAAACTTCATCATCAATCTTTTTTTGAAAATAATCACATTGGGTGTGGATTTGATTTTATTATTCAATTCATTATATAATTTGCACCTGATGAATTAAAAACTCTTTTGATAAAGTGGGGTGGAGTGAGATTTGGGTTGTAGCAAATTGCAGTAGGTAGTGTTGGTGGGCAAGTTGAAATGCTATTCAATTTATATATACAGCATATATATTATGTTGTTAATGAAGAATAAAGACACATTATTATTATTATTATTATTATTATTATTATTATTATATAATGTGAGAATTAACAGTTCCATAAACAGTTCTCTACAACTAGTCCTCATGTCAGTGTTTTCAGTCTTACATAACACATATTTTTGTAAAATAAATTCTATTTGCTGTGGCACTATTTCCTCACAAAATTATACCACATCTTATATTGAAGTGAAAGTTGACATAATATAAAGATACCAGTATTTGTTTACTACAGTGATTTTTCATATATTTGATGCTGTAGCAAGCACTACAAAGTTTTTTTGCATAATTGGTCAACATGCTCCATCCATAACATTTGCCTGTTGAAAGTGATTCCTAACAATTTCACATTTTCAGAGCAGGACAATTATTTTTCTGTATTTTTGAAAATGATAGGTGGAACTTGTCATCTACATCTGAAATACACCAACACTGTTTTTTGTAATTTAATAGCAAGTTGTTATCTCTCGACCAGCTGTGTACATCACAATATATTCTTTCTGTAGAATTTATGAGAGATTTTTGATTGTCACCAGAGATAATGATGTTAGTATCATCTGCATAACAAATGATCTTTGACATTTGAAATATTTTCTACAGAATATATGACCTCATTAGCAAATAAATTGAAGAGTAGAGGGCCCAGAACTGATCCCTGTGGAACACCCTGTGTGATGCTACAAGAGGGACTGCTAATATCATTGAGCAAAACAACTTGATTTCAGAGGAATGCCTCTTATCCAATATCTTTCAAGTTTAACTAGTAGCATGCTATGATCAACTACATCCAAAGCTCTTGAAAAGTCCACTTACATGGTCACCTATATCCAACCCACAGACGAGTTCATTTTGAACAGTATTCAAAGCTGTATCAGTACTCATATTAGTATGAAAGCTATGTTGACTTAAGGTGGATTCATGCAAGCAAAATTTAAAACTTAAATGAATTTTAAACATAAACCAATAATATAAAACTATGAAATGTAATGTAGGTGCTCATGCAAGAAACTAAAAAATTAAAACTAGAATTAAAACTAAGAAAGATGGCCAACATTAAACTAAGAAATTAATTTCTTCCATAATTCACGACAACGCATGCGCCAAATAATAACTAGCCCCGCTGGAAAAAGAATAAACAGCTGAGGTTATTACATGAACACCCATATATTTTTAATTTAAAATTCGTTTAAATCTTAAATTCATTTTAATTTAGTTGATGTTGCACGAATCCACCTTTAATGATAATAGTTTATATTGATTCATGAAATTATCACATGCAATATCAGGATTCTGTTCATTAAAAATATTATTCCAACTTTCACCTTCCAAGCATTCTAAGAGTTTCATTTCATTGTTGACCATAGCCTGAATAGTGTACGATAAATTCCTTTTCTCTGTTTATTTCCTTCATTTCTTTCATTTCCTATTCATTTCCCGAAAATTCCTCTAATTCCTCACGATTCCTCGAAATTATTTCAATTCACATCCATTTCCTTCATTTCCTCCTTAATTCCTCACATTTCCCCAAACTGCCTCTATTTCCTATGCATTTCCTTCATTTCCTGAACATTCCTCTAAGTCTTCGGATTTCCCCGAGATTCCTCCATTGCCCTGTTGTTTCCTTTCATTCAAAAAGACTAAAATCAGAGGTCAAGGGCGCACTTAATTGAATTAATTTCTTAATAATGTAATGTCGTCCATTACCGTTTCAGAGGTATATTCTGAAAATTATTCAATAGGAAATTTGTTGGAAATTTCTTCCATACCATAATATGTCAGTATAGATAATATACATGGTGAGTCATTTTTTTGTAGCAGGACATCAACAACTTGAAGAAAATACTATTTTAAGATAACAATCTCATATAAACATAAGGCCTGTTTCCCTATATACAGGTGGAGTAATATGTTTATATATTTTTGTGTTTTTCTAGTTCTGCCACTGAGTCTCACATCTTACAAAACCTTCTGATCATTCCAAGCCCCCTAGTCAATTATTGCGAAAAGTCAAATAGAGTGTGATTGAAAAATAAAGTTTTCTCACAAGTAAATTATTTTCTTCATTTATGGGGTCAGGTAGCCGTGCGGACAGAGTGTCTATATTCTAATTCGCATTCGCTTGCCGGTCGTGGGTTCGATTCCCATCGACTGCAGAAATTTTTCTGGTGGCCCAAGAAAGTGTTTGGGATCACACGTTAAAAGGTAAGGCCCCCGTCATCCCTTGCTCGCACAAGACTTTCGAAGACTTCTGAGGGTTGCTCGTAAGGGGGCAACCGAATGACGGATAGAACAATTTTACAATTTTATTTTACAATCTCGAGATCCATAGTTTTCGAAAAAAATTAAGAAGAGCAAAAATGTTCCAAATAAAACATAATCTGAATCAATGTTTCTCAACTACCGACTGCTTTTTGTGGATATACTTTAAGGAGCGAAATTGGGCTTCACTTCTGATTTTGAATTGAACCCACGACCGACAAGCGGACGCCTGGCAACTGTTATTCTACTACTCATTTTCTAGTAGTGTTTTTATAATTTGTGTGAGTACCCAATTTTGACGAAAGAATCATAATCTCCGACCCCGAAGAATCGGATCATGATTACAAAACCCGCTTACCAAATTGTATTCGCCATATTGAATTTTCCAATTTTGACAAAATTATCATAATCTCCGACCCTAAAAACTCCCAAATACCAATTTTGGATAGAATCGGATCTTATAATTACAAAACTTGTCCACCATATTGGATCCGTCATCTTGAATTTTGTCGAAAGAATCATGATCTCCGACCACGATACAAATTTGAATAGATTCAGATCATAATAACGAAAGTCGACCGGCATATTGGATTATCGCCGTCTTGAGTTCATCAATTTCGACATGAGAATCATAATCTCCGACCTCTAAAACCCCTAGACACCAACAATTCAATATTATAAAATGAAATATATCATTCGACGTTGTTGTTAAATGTAATAATAGCCTTGGCTGAATTTTGTCCAAATAAAGACGATTTTTCATTATTATTACTTATATCAAATAGTTAGTATTTTTGTCATAAGTGTTATTCAAAGCGCCGCAAACACGGGCTGGGATTTTGGAGGAAATGTTTTTTTTTATCTCTTGAAGCACACGAAAGAAAATTTCTTTAATGTGTAGAAAAGAAAAATATTTTATACCTAATCATTGAATTTCGAACCCCTGGGAATTCGTAAAATTTGTATACCTCTACTTCAAAGCGGGAAACTATCAACCTCCCCAGAAATCCAAACTTGTACGGAGCTAAGTAGAACGGGACCTACACTTTGAAGCGGAAACCGAACTGCTTCTAAGGAAGCCGATAAGCGGACAGGATTGATATCATGACCCCCACCTTCAACCAAATAATTCATTCGCCTGCCGGGTTCGAACTGTCATCATTTCGGACACTAATAAATAGACAGCATACTAGATTAGACAGCGAACGAGCGATAAAGGCGTCTTGCCCACTGAGCCAAGGTCCCCAATTTTTCTGAAATGCCTCGAAATTCCTTCATTTCTTCGGAAAATAATAATAATAATAAAAGTGCTTTATTGATTACCTAATTGGCCACCGACTGAAGTCCTTCAGCCTGTAATACATTGAAATCTATTGTATTTCATTTCTTTGATTGAATAATAAAATATAATCATATTTATGTGAATTATTGTTTGATGTGAGTAAAAAAAAAGAAGGAAAGTGTTCAAGATTGATCAATATCTTAATTTCTTGGTATTTCTGCAATGTTGGTGCATTCCACCAAGGTGTTCACTGGAAATTTGTGACTTGAGGTCTCTGTAGGGTGTCTTTGGATGCACTGGGTTTGAATGATCTGCAGGTTACTTTCATTGATGGAGAAATTATGTGCTAGTTTTTCCAGCCTCTCGCTAAATGAAGGGGGTTTTGCTCGGGTTTTGAGGATGTCGTATTTTCGTGATTGCTCTCAGGCTAGATCTTTCTGCGTATGAGTATGGGGCGGCATATGGCTTTGTAAATGTGAGCTGCTGTTTTTCTGCTAATTCCTCTCTGTTTGGCTCTTGTGATACAGATTTTTTTTATTTATTTCTTACACTGTTCAACAGGTTGCCCCATTTACAGAACAGGAAAAAGAGGACAAAACAGAAACATGCATTGCATATTACATAAGCATAATGGATAGACGAAACAATATGACAAAATGAAAATATCCTGACTAAGTATCTAGTTATTCACTGATGAAGGAGAAAAAAGATAAAAAGTTTTGATATGAGTTATTCCACAGCTGAACAGATCTATATTCCTAGCTACCAAGTTATATGTACTACACATCTTATACAAGGGTGAATTTTTATATATGTTGGTTCGAGGAAACTCTAAGTAGTACGTATCACAATTTCTGGAAGATAATCTCGGGATAATAAAGTTCAATTTTTCCAACAAATCTGCACAGTCAATTAGATTGTTAACAACCTTATAAAGGATCAGGATAGAGAAGTATTGTCTTCTTACGTGCAGGCTCACGAATCGAATTTTTCATGAGAGAGAGTTTTTTTTATGTTCTGGTTCCTACGAAAAGGGATATCCTGTACTGTTCAGAGAACATCGTGGGAACCGAGGAAATTTCTGGAGGTTATATGCCTCGGGGAACACCTCCCTTGGCAATGTGTTCCATAACCTCGCTGTTCGTTGGATGAACAGGTCTCCAAAGTGACCACGAAGGGGTGCGAAGCCTCAACTGGTGATTGAAGTTAAATTTCGGGTCCAAGTGAACTCCTAAGTACTTGGCTACTGTGCTCGTTCTCACTATATGATTATTCACATTGGCTGAAGGTGAATTATTGGAGATATTATGGTTGAATATTATCAGTTGGGATTATTCTGGGCTTGACTTCAGTCTCCATTTGTCACACCATCTCATAGTATCCTCGATTGCTTTTTGTAACTTTCTCACAGTTTTCTCAAGTGTTTTGTTGTGTCGTCAGCGAATTGAATTCTATAGGGCGATGTGAAACGTTCCTGATGGTTTGGAATGTTCTGGACAAATACGTCGTGGCAGTAGATGTTGAACAGAAATGGTGATAGGGGTGAGCCCTGCGGAAGTCCCTGTTGTGGCTGGAAGACGGTTGAAAGGTGATGCAGTACTTTCACTTGTAGGGATCTTCATTGTAGGTAGTCTTTTACTAGGTGTATCATATATTTGGGGCAGTCCAACATTAATAGTTTGTAGAGCATTCCCTTATGCCATACACTGTCAAAGGCCTTGTTTATATCTAGGAAAATTGCTGCGGAATGATATCCAGGAAGTTTGTATGCTTGTACGTTTGATAGAAGAACTGAAATGGGATGTACTGTTCCACGTTTTTGGTGAATACCATATTGGTGAGCCGGGATTGCATATCCTACTGTTTGTTCCATCATTTGTTTCATCAGTCTTTCAAGGTTTTTGCCCAACACTGGGCATTTCCTCGGAATTCCTAGAAATTACTCCATTTCTTCGTTATTTCCCAGGAAGTGTACATGAAATTCCTCTGTGGTTAACCCCTCGGTTGCAACTGTAGTTCCTATATTTTTGGTAACAGTTGTGACTGTCTGGGGTATAAAAAATGAGTGTCAGTGAGTTCCTGTGTTGTCTCAGTTGAAGTTGAGGAAAAACAATTTTGTGACAGGTAGGATTGAGAGTTCCTGGGATTACCCGCTTCTTCGTTTACTTGTAATTTTTTAAAATGGCACAGCTTGGGATACAGTGGCTTATATCTGGGATTGGTATACCACATTTTTTCTAGAACAAAAAGATAATATTCTCAACATAAGCAAATGGCAATGGATATTATTAGGCTTTACCACATTTTTTTAGAAAAATGTGATTTTTTAAAAATCTTTTTCATCACTTGGAGCGCACCAAAGGGAATCCCTATAATGTTCAAGGGACATCATGCATACCTAGGTAACATAGGGAGACGAGGTAGGTTTTTGAATTTATTTTGAACTTTTGGAGATTATTAGCTTGATTATAAGTTCTTGGGAATACTTCTATAGACAAACGAGTTTTGATAAAGTGCTGTTCCGCATATTTCCAGATTGACAATGAAAGGGTGTGCTGACTGGGCTTGCCAAGCTGGTATTGTTAGTGTGGGAATTATAGCAGAGACTCCTAAAGAATATATCCCGTGGAAGTATCTATAGAAAAGGCAATATCCTTAATTTTTTGGCTCAGTTTATTCAGGTGTTTCTACCCTATGACAATGCTTCCTTTAGCTGAAAACTGAGCAGTTAGCAGAGTTTTTTTGTTGATATAACAGAGTTTTTCATGCAACCAACCCCTAATTGAATACCTAGTGAATTATTATACTATTGATTATTTTCTTCCTATGATTTTAAACCAATCAAAATGTTCAATTGAGTTGAGCTACCTTGAATAATTTCAAATATATTTGGATATACATAGAGTAGTCCCACCAATTAGAAATTTAGAATTATTTTCATTTCCATATTAACCAATTCATATTGTTACATACAAACAAAGCACATCAAATTTTGACGTTCGTTAAAACTAATCAAAAAATAATCACATTCAATACAATTTGAACTTGAAAATCTTCAAGGTTATACATCTCAAACTTCCTGCACAATTACAAATTGTGACAGTCTAACAACTGTTGAACTGACATTATGTAATTATGCAGCAATTTATCCATGTATAACCGGAATACTTTGAAGTACTTATAGTATTACTACTAAATATATGTGGATATACATAGAGTAGTTCCACCAATCAGAAATTTAGATTATTTCATCTGTTATACTGGCACTCTTTGTAATTATGCAACAAGCTATTGATGTATAACCCAAATATTTTGATGTACTTATAGTATTACTACGGTACCACTGAATACATTTTGATTTTCAAATTCATATTATGAATACCTACCCAAGTGTTTCTTATTGATGGAAGGCAGCAATTGGTATAACATTTTCAATTTATTATAATCAATTTTCATGTTTAGATTCAAGCATTCATTATCTCAGCATCTACACATGAAGTTTCCAAGCATTTAAGTCTTTTATTCATTGAATATTAATTTCAGTTGCAAGTGGGTGATGTAGTTGGTTATGCAGTTAGATTTGAAGATGTCACTTCACAGAAAACAAAAATAAAATTCTTGACTGATGGTATGTTACTACGAGAAGCCATGTTTGATAGACTTCTAATGGAATACACTGTTGTTATTTTGGATGAAGCTCATGAGAGAACTCTTCATACTGATGTATTGTTTGGTATTGTGAAAAGGGCACAAAAAATTCGAGAAGATCGGAATCTGGCACCCTTAAAGGTAAACCATTCAATCATTTTAGCCTGATTATTTTGTTATTTTGAAGTTATGAACATCAGGTTGTTCACTAAACTGTGATTAGAGACAAATTTGTATAATTCAAGTTGATAATAAAATAATTTGATCTCCATTCATTCAATCTAGGGTGATCTCTAAATACATGACAAATTACATTTTTTCAATAGAAAACCCATTTGTCCCCCCCTCTAGCTCAGTTATTTTTGAACCGATTTCTTGAATGATTTTTGATAACGTTTTTTTCGCTACATCAGCAAATACAGGGTGCTCGGAACAAACGATCTACAGGGTACTAATTGATTTTTTTTAAGGAACACCCTATCTTTCATTGTATTTTAAGATTCTCCCTGAAGAGCTGATTTGGTCAATGCATCACACTTGGGGTCTAGCGGGAATGATCACAGAGATATAGGGTGTTCAAAATCGAGATTTTTCAACTTTAGGATTTTTTTGAGACGAAACTATTCATTATCGGTCAAAACGGCCTTTATGACCGTATCTTAACTTTTGATTTACCATCTACTGACATTTAATAATTGGAAAAGATACAGGGTGATCAGCATTCTGAATCTTGAACCACCCTGTAAATGTTCCAATTAAATGTCAGTAGACAGTAAATCAAATGTCAAGATGAGGACATAGTAGCCGTTTCGACCAATAATGAATAGTTTCGGCACAAAAAAATCCTTAAGTTGAAAAATCTCGATTTTGAACATCCTATATCTCTGTAATCATTCCCGCTAGACCCCAAATGTGATACATTGATGGAATCAGCTCTTCAGGAAGAATATAAAGATAGAATGAGACACAGGGTGTTACCTTTGAAAAAATCAAGTAGTACTCTGTAGATCGTTTGTTCCGAGCACCCTGTATTTTCTGATGCAACGGAAGGAAAATTTCTGAAAAATCATTTCAGATTATTCTTCAAATTTTTAAATCGGTTCAAAAATAAGTGAGCTAGAGGGGGGGACATTTATGGTGAATCACCCTGTATAAGTATAGTTGCATTAAAAAAACAGAGAGAGGGAGAGAGAGGAAGAGAGAGAAAGAGAGGAAAAGAGATATAAGAAAGAAGAGCTATAGAAAGACAGGAAGAGAGAGATATAGAAAGAGAGGAAGAGAGAGATATAGAAAGAGAGGGATATAGAAAGAGAGGAAGAGAGAGATATAGAAAGGGAGGACGAGAGAAATATAGAAAGAGAGGAAGAGAGAGATATAGAAAGAGAGAAAGAGAGATATATAAAGAGAGAAATAGAGGAAGAAAGAGAGAGAAGTGGGAGATAGAGAAATTAACATCATTCTATTTGACTAAAACGGGGAATGATTGTTTACCATTATGTTGATAGTTGTCATAGGTTGTTAAAAATAGAAAGGACTGAGCCAGTTTTACACAGCAAGAACTAGGATGACGTTGACCTCTCTTTTCAATACGTGTATGATATGATAGGATCTAACAAATATTTAAAAAATATAAGATTTTTCCTAAGTCTTCAAATCTATGAAGATTGAGCTCGGGATTGAGGGCATATGTTGAGGCATATATTTGTTCATCATAAAAACTCATTTACCCATGTGTAGGTTTCATTTTTTCAGGTTATAGAGTGTTACCCAATACCTGCTAATTAATGTCTTGGATTTTGTTTCACATTATGAAAATGACATTATATATTTTTTTTAGATACTGATAATGTCTGCAACAATGGATGTTGATCATTTCTCCAGGTACTTCAATAATTGTAAAGCAGTGTATTTAGAGGGAAGAACATACCCTGTCAATATTTATTACACTATCAAGCCTCATGATGACTATCAAACAAGTTGTGTGGCAACATTTTTCAAAATACATAAGGAAGCACCACCTGAGTGAGTACTTTGAAAATTATACCAATCTACAAATCATAGAGTATTTTCGAAGCAGTTGGGATTATCTTGAATATTTTCCCATTTGTTGATACTTGATCATTTCCTTCAGCCATGATTACTACTGAGTTCTTTTTTTTTGCATGTTACTGTAGTTCCTTTTGTAATGTAATATATTATACAGAGTGGGCCTTTGAAAACGAAACAGATGCTCTGTAGGTCGCCAAAACCGGATTATGAAAAGAATCTGAAACACGTCAACTACGTTTTCGAGGGGGACATCGTCCTACAATATTTTCAGCCCTGCGGCGTTGCCGCTGCTAACGAAAAGAAGCAACAACTTTGTTATTTCAAATGGAACACCTTGTATTTCATTGCATTTTTAGATTCTCCCCGAAGAGCTGATTTCATCAATGCATCACACTTGGGGTCTAGCTGTAATGGTTTCAGGGATATAAAGTGTTCAAAATCGAGATTTTTCAACTTTGACATTTTTTTTGTGTCGAAACTATTCATTATTGGTCAAAACGGCTCTCATGTCCCTATCTCAACTCGTGATTTACTATCTACTGACATTTAACTGGAACAGATATAGGGTGATCAGAATTCTGAATCTTGAACCACCCTGTATTTGTTTCAAATAAATTTGAAATAACAAAGTTGTTGCTTCTTTTCTTTAGAAGCGGCAACGCCGCAGGGCTGAAAATATTTTAGAAAGATGTCCCCCTCGAAAATGTAGTTGACCTGTTTCAGTTTTTTTTGATAATCCGGTTTTGGCGACCTACAGAGCCTCTGTTTCGTTTTCAAAGGCCCACTCTGTATAAGCAGATTCATGAAAACCATTGATTAGCTGAATTGGAAGATCAATTCGTTGTTTTTGTTTGTAACTTTTACAGCCCATGGCAATCCCTATTATGTTCCAGGAACATCGCCCATAAAATCAATAGAATGATGTTACTATAACAATTGAATACTTACTGTTCGTAATTTTTTTTTGATTATATGACTTGAACTTCTGATACCATGTGAATTCACATATAAAAACGATTTATCACACATAAATAATTTTATTGTTTGACAGGTCATTGGATTGGCTAATTGAAATATTTTAAAACTTTTAGAGGTTATGAATTTGACTTCCACAAAGAATTCCAAAGCTTTGCTGTTCTATAGACAAACGAGTTCTGATGAATAGGCATTTTTTCATGCAGGATTTTTTTTTATATTTCTACCAGTGGCGTCCGTGTCGGATGTATGCTAGAGATTTTTCTAAATTAATATTGTTTTATCGGGCCTCTCTATATTTCAATGCGGCTACGTTGGTATCATTGAAAAAAAGACGGGAGAGGAGAGAACTTTCCTCTCTCTCGTTCAAGATAGAAAAGACTTCAATTGAATTACACCCTGTATATAGTTACGATAAACGTCCGGGTTCGGTCTTTCACAAACACTTGATAGAAAACAAAACGATATATCCAAATACAAACACTACAATACAAGATTCAAAATTACAATAATTGCGTCTATATTTTTCTGTCAAGAAAATTAAATCAGATATTGGTAAAAATTCCATCTATCACAATGGAATGATACAATACAATTCACTACCAAATAACTTGAAGCTGATTAATAGGATTGAAAAATTTAAAAGAGAATTCAAGAAACATCTACTCCTGTAATATTGACATCTTATCTCATTTTTATAGTTTTCTTGTACAACTACTATAGTTTTCAATTGTGTACCCAACAGCTGAGTCAATTGAGGATCATATTCATTTGAACTTGAAAAAAAAAAGATTCTTTTTGAGTGTGAGTCTTATTTTACTGTCTTCTTTATTTTATTTTGTCGAATAAATTTATATATTCGCCATGTTCCCTGCTATAAACACATTTTGTTTCTTGGGAATAATAAAGTTGATTGATTGATATTATTATCACATTCAACTAATTCAACAATTCACTCTAAAGGTCCCTATACAATACTACACTCGTCGGCCTACCTGCCGATATTTATATCTGACCTAAAGACCGTCCGAGAACCTTCGCCAAAATCTCCGAACATCTTCCATCCTCAGGCGACGCAGCGCGAAGTCTATCCCGCAAAACGTAGTCTAATAACAATATCTTGGGAGCATAGGTTCAATTCCTCCGGTGTGTTTAATCGCTATTCGTTGAGCATCAAACTTCACACGCGAAATGAAATGGATATCTTTGCTTCCTTGATATATAAATAGCTATTTATTCATGTTCAGATATATTATGGGACCAATACGATATACAGTTTGTGTTAGAGATGTAAATATTGTAGTTCTAACAGATAGCATGTTTTATTCTAGGAGCTTCCCAAACTCGTACAGTGTCATGTCTATGAGATGCAAATATGCATTGAAGATAGAGAATCACCACAGAACTTAGCTGTTATTGTCAAAAAGGGCTACCACCAAATTTATTTCTTTACAGCCATGATGTTCTGATATTCCTTACTGGACAAGAAGAGATTGAAGCTTGCGCTCACCAGATCAGACTCCTATCCAAAGATCCAGATGTTCAGGGCCCTACTGTCAAGGTGTGCACCCTGTATGCGGCTCAGCCAAGTTCACAACAACTTTCAGTATTCCAGCCGGCACCGGCTAACACTAGAAAGGTTGTTATAAGCACGAATATTGCTGAAACAAGTGTAACTATTCCAGGAATCAAATATGTTATTGATAGTGGCATGGTTAAGGCAAGGTAAGTACCCAATTAAGAATTAATTGTGAAAATTAGCCATACTCAATGTGGTCCGGTATTTTCAGAACAAATCCCAAACTTGTCAGTTGATGAAATGATACCTTACGACGACAATGTATATTGTTAACAAGCATTGAAGTCTGGTAATGTGCTTTCACTACGAGGTACACATACTATTTTTTTCTGAAATCGCAATCAAAATTGTATTCACTGTCTAAAATGTATATAAATAAAACGTAGTTTAAAAAACTAAAGAAAAACCCTTTGATAGTTAGCCAAACTAAAAAGAAGTAGAATGAAATAATAAAATTGTGTTGATAAATACACTTTCTATGTTAAGTATTAATCAACACACTCTTATTATTTTATTCTCTACTTCTTTTTGGTTCAGGTAATTATTGAAGAGTGTTTCTTTAGTTTTTTGAACTACTATTTATTTTTCATTTTTTATTTCAACTAACTACAAAAGCATGTTTTTAGTGTTCTTAAATTTTTTGAAGGTACCCAATTTCCACGAAAGAATCATAATCTCACCTCCACAACCCCCAGATACTAAGTTTCAATAGAATTGCATCATGACAATACCTGGCCGCCATATCGTATTCACCATATTGAAAGTTCTAATTTTGACATAAGTATCGTAATCTCCAACCCCAAAAACCCACAGATACCAATTTTGAATAGTATCAGATTATATAATTACGAAACTCGTTCACCATTGGATCCGCCATTATAAATTTTTCACTTTTGACGACAGAATCATAATCTTCAACCCTGAAATCCCCCAAATATAAATTATGGGTAGAATCAGATTATAATTACGAAACTCGTCCGCCATATTGAATCCACCATCTTGAATTCACCAATTTTGACCAAAGAATCATAATCTCCGACCTCCAAAACCCCCCAGATACCAATTGTAAATAGAATCGGATCATAATTATATAACTCGTCCGCCATTTTTAACAACTTTCACGAAATTTTGCTGCATAGCAACACCACTAGTCTGTTAAGACAAGTAGTATCGCTACGGCAACACAATTGAGTTAACAATAAAAAACAGAATTATGAGAAGATATTTAGAACAGACTGGTATTTTGCTAGACCATATTTTCACGAAGCATAAATTATAAATTCACAAGCCATATTACCAAAGCGTTTCATTCTGAACTCTACAGCCATAATTATTTTAAATCAAACTAACAGAATTTACTTTGCTATCCATGGTTACATCATTGAAAACACCGATGCTGATAGACCAATGAGAATTGAAATACGGCTAGTGTTTTCGCGATAATACAAGTTGTCTTTGGTTTGTGATTGGTCAGAATATGTGGGAATTTCAAGATGAGTGAAATAGTCATTAAGATCTATGTACACCACGCGTCACTTTATTTTCTACAGAAGATATGATGAAAGTTGTATACATTATGTGAGTACCTACAAAAACTTCAGGAAATAGAAATATAAAATATACTTCTATATCGCAACTTTTCCGTATCATATTACTTTCACTGTGTCCAGACTAAGATGAATCCTCTTTCAAGTTATTTGTGAACAACTTCCAGGTTATTTAATGACAACCAAGAAAACATACAAATTATCTAGAAAATAACCGCGTAGTAACAACACAAATAACGTCTTAACTTCTCTATAGGGATTGTTTGGGAATACATTTGACATGAACTGTCATGTGTGACTGTAACGTCAAGTTTTCCCGGTCCATTTCTCTTGCTATGTGAAACTGTTATTGGTTGCCATGACGAGTCATAGCAACTCGAAAAAAAAAAGAAAAAAAAAAAAGAATAGCTGCGTACTATCGATACACCATTTGGATTTGTTCTTATATTGCAAAAGATGAGAGATTCATAATTAGGTATCCTGAATACATTTTCAGGTCTTTCCATTCATCCACCGGTCTCGAACTCCTCAAAACGCAAAAGATTTCTCAAGAACAAGCCTGGCAACGAGCTGGAAGGGCAGGTAGGGACTCTGAGGGCTACTGTTACCGTCTGTATACCCGCTCACAGTTCGAATTGATGCGAAAATCCAACGTACCGGAAATACAAAGAGCCAATCTCACCACCGTCGCCTTACAGTTGTTAGCGTTGGGAATACATTCGGTGAACTTCGATTTCATGGATAAACCGCAAAAAGATGCCGTATTGGCCGCCTTCGAACAATTGAAGATGCTCGGAGCCGTCGACAACATTATGGCAAACGGCTTGACGTCCCTCGGGAAAAAGATAGCGAAGTTTCCTCTGGACCCTCGCTTCTCCAAAATCATTCTCTCTGCCCACCAATACGGCTGCCTCGAAGAAGCTTTAACTGTGATATCTCTTCTGAGTAGCGAATCGATTCTCCTGAATCCTCCGAACAGACGCGAACAGGCTCGAAACGTAAGGCAAAAGTTTTGTTCGGCTTACGGCGACCACATAACGCATTTGAATATATACAGGGAGTTCAACAATGTTGGGCAGAGCAACAAGCGGAACTGGTGCCATGAACATTTCGTCAACATGAGGAATATACTGCACGCCAGAGAAATTAGGAATCAGTTGGAGGAGATCTGCAAGAAGGCTGATATGACTTTGACTTCGTGCGGTAGTCAGATGGATCAGCTCAGAAAATGTTTGGTAACTGGTCTGTTCATGAATGTTGCCGAATTGGTGCGAGATAAGCAGTATATAACGGTGAATATTTTATATTTTATTCATAAGACTTGAGTTGAATCTCAGGAACCGAATAGTTGAGTTATTATCAACAATAATTGTCATGCTGCGAAAATGTTTTATCTTTCAATTTGAATATGCTTTATTAACAAAAGCATGCAACAACGGCACTGGACCAGGTTTCTACGTACCTGTATACAGATGCGTCGATAATGTTTTTTCTTGAGGGGGGGTAATGGCTTTCTCGTTAAGGTGATGAAAAAATCGACTAAACTCCTTTGAACAGACAAATCACAAATCAAACAGCCATAAATGTCTATTAAATCTATTACCTATCTTACAAATTATTATTCTTGTGGGGTTACGCACTTGCTTGTATAATGTCAGGTTAGGATATTTGTATATAACTTTTCTTCACAGATTCGACACTGCCGAGCCATATTTTATTCACACAATAGTCTGCTACTGAAACAACGAAAATTATTCACACAGAAGTCATAAAACCAAAATAAAAAAACGACAAATAACTCTTGTCATTTTTCTTCTAACCTAACCAGGCAAACCAGGTTTACTTGTGGAGCTTGACAGATGTCAGTTTTACAGCTGTTGTTATTTATTAATTACATATTTTCAATAAATCAATTATTTCTTTTTCGTCAATAATATGATAATAATAAGAATTTTCATTCACAAATACTACGTAAGAATACCTAATTATTTCATTAAAAAGGGTAATTATCTCATATTTTATCAGTTATAACCTCGATCAGATTATAACAACAACTTCTATGAAACTTTGCGGTGCTGCCACGTTCATCTTGAGATAATTCCTATTCTCCATTTACTTAACAATAACTAATAGGATTATGATTATTAATCATGAGTTTATGACAATTATTATGCTGTTATTGGTATATTATTATGTCATAAAAGTTGGTCCATTTTTGGTCAAGCATGCCGAAATGAATAAGACATTTTGAATTACCGACTAAAACTGAAGGAAATTAGTAAATCTCTCTTCTTGACTAGTAACTAGTTACTCTGAGCATTGTCGATCTAAATGGAAACCTAGTAGGCGACCTAGTACGCGAGGAGGTACAATATTGTCTGTTCTTTGAATCAAAATCTGTCTGCCTGTCAAGTGGCGCTGGCATCCTGAAAATGGAAAAAGCTCATTTGTTTCTGTCAAAATAGACCATATCAGCAGTGGGACTCTGTAACTCAAAGCGAAAGCGAAAGCATGCGTAATCGACTGCTTTTGCAGTTTCGGTACTCTGTAGCAATATTCGGATGAGGTCGGAGACGCCGAACGTGAGTTCGTAAGCGAAGCAGAAGCGAAGGATTTTGGTTGTCGCTTTCTGCGATTCTCAACGATTGAGGTTATAGGTATTGGTTTTTGTCTGAGGTTTTTGTTGTTGTTCCTATTTCGAACTTTGTGTTGATTTGAGAAAAATAATAGATTAATAAATGAGGAATGAACCCAAACATGGATAACAAAGCGAGCAAAAACACAACTCAGTCAGTGGGACAGATTCCTCAGTTTTACGAACAAAATCCTAAAGATATTCCAGAGAGATGGAAGTTCCCTTTGGTAGGATTAAGGTAGGGGATGAAATAACGTGAGACGTGTGATGAAAACATACAGCTCATTTGGTAGTTGAAAAATAAACTGAAAACTGTCATTAGTGCTGTTGAATAGGGTCTGGAATAATTCATATTCATTCGAATTATCCTTCTCTTTTAGATTCCTGATACATCAAAACAGGCAGATATAAGTAGCTTCTCCAAAAAATGAAATGTGGCATTACTGAATGTTGTCTCACTGAATCCTTGTTAAGAAAAATATGTCTTTGGTGTGAGTCCATTGAAGAAGACAATAATAGGTAAATTAAAGAATCCCACTAATATAATATGCCGATACCTACAACAGTGAAACATAACAGAAAGCCTGGAACGTTCAAATTTGAAAAATTTGCATAATGAGTGCATTGGAAGGGAAAATAATTTGGATAGCAAAAACCTTGGAGACACTCAAGAAGAACTGTGTAATATTACTGTGTACCAATAGGGGAGAATCAAGAGTAAATTCCATGAAACAGGATTAACTGAACATTATTTACTATGTTGAACAAGAACAAGAACGGATTCTACTTTCAATACATTAATAATTCCATCCAAGATTCTAAAGTGAACTGTAAGAAAAAGTGCATCTGTATAAATGCACTGTCAACATATAGCTGCCTTGCAGAAGGCGATTCAAGGAATTATATGTGCTCATCATCTTGTTTAATTTGCAACATAGAGAAGCAAGTTCTGATAGGTATTACATTATAGTATGTAAATAATAATATACTGAGTGTTAAGATTATAGAATGATATGTCCATTTCCATTATAAATATAAGCAGTTACATATCTTACAATATTATTATTATTCTCAGATCATTTGCCTTTACTAGTTGCATATGAATAGAAAGCTATACCTGAGATATACCTAGTGAGAATATAAATACCAATTTTTTTTATGAACAAAGTAGGTACATATTTTCCAATTAGCTGCTCTGTGCAGAATAAGTTCTTGTTTGGCTGATTACTATTTTTGTTGGCCTTGATGTCAATATCTGTTTGTAGTCAATACATTCATTCCAATTCATAAAAATAAATCATCTTCATATGTGTTTTTGATGTTTTATTGAATTTCTTTTCTCTCGGAAACTTCTCCAAGTGCTTTATTTCTAATTGAAACCAAAAATTAACAATACAATAATTCGTAAATGCCGCTTTTTTGATCCAATGGGATGTTTCCTTTGAATAAATGAGATCCGCAACACTGTTGCCAAATTTAACTCCACCAACTTCGTTCTATTTCGTATGAAATCGTATGACGATAGCGAAAGCATAACGAACTACATATAGAGTACCGGAAAGCGAAGTCGTATACTTCGCTTCGTTTCGCTTTCGCTATGCGACGCAAGTTACAGAGTCCCACTGCAGGTTGATATTCTCTTCTTCTATTTTTCTCCAATATGTACTCAACCACAGATGTGCTTTCCATCATTGACGTGATATTTGATAGGAAGACGATGGAGAAGATTCATGTAATCATAAAATTATTTTCTGACAGTTGTCATCAACTTATAACTTCGTCTTTGTGGATGTGTTGAACTTTGATTTCCTTTCTTGGAAATTACAATTATACCTATACCTAATCATTTCTTCTAGTATTGGTTTTCTATCAGAGTTTGTTGATTGGTTTGTGAGTGCGATTGTGTTTTTTTGCAATGTCAATGGGTTCACGCCATATTCATTGGATATCAAGGTGAACTTTTTTTCTTGAATCACATAATATTTGGAACTTAATGATATTTATATTTCAGGAATGTGAGTTTTTGAAGTAAGCGAACATGATACTATATGTTTCCAACATTTTAAGGGAACTGTTTCTTGCCAATGAAGAATAGGAAACGGTTTTGGAAAGAGAGTACGGTCCCAAGTTTGTTCAAGGTAGAAATATATAAATAAAATGGTATTTAACAAATTTGTACCTATACTTACTAACTAATTATTAGTTTCGGTATGAAATTCACCAAGAACTTGACTTTGGTTCCTCTAAAAGTTGTTCCATCGTCAAAAGTCATTAAATTCATTTCAGAATGGTACAGGACATTGAAACTAGGGACAATATTTTTATATTTTCAGACTCGGCAATGTTGTTTGGAATATGATTCTGAAGAGGAATTCCTGCCTTAAGGAACAGGACCTGACGATGAAGAAGCATCTGAGGAGGAAACGGGCATTTGAACAGATATTATAGAATGATAATAAATAATAATAAAGTTCATTCAAAATGTTGACTTGAATATATATTAAAAAGATACATATTGGTATTGAATATTCCTGTGGTTTAATTTGTGCCAATAATAGACACATCTTCTCATATTTAGTGAAGTTCGTAGCTTCAATAAGATGATTTAATAAAAAATAATCATTGTTTTACTTCAAAAATACTTCACCTATATACAATATTTGTACAATATATATAGTGTTTTCAAACTTATCTGCCAATACATCTGTACAACAATAAACAGGGTATCAGAAGAGAACAAACTATATAGTAGAATAAAAATTTAAATAATTCTTCATAATTATGTACAATTTATTAAAAAAATTAAATTGTATTGCCATTCATACAATACATACAAGTTATATTCCAATAAAAAATTCTAAATATCCCAGCATCTTGACAAAGAACCCTGAACAATAGAATACCATATATCTGAGGATGATTCCTATACAATCTTGAAATCACTTTACTCTAGTGAAATATTCTGAGTGGCTCACTACGAAAATGGTCCTGAGTGTGCTGGAGTGGAATATCACAATACATTTATTTATTTATTTATTTCAGTTATTGCATTACATTCTTTTCTTCATTGATACATTTCATACAAATAATATATAAAGGTCATTCTCCAAAACGGGGACAATATGATGTAACTCATATGTGAAAAATATATAGCAAATAGGTTGAGACTTGAAAAACATTGAAGATGATAGCTTATGACTTGTGCTTCACAGGAGTTGAAAAAAGAACGAAAAAAATCATTTATTTTTCCATTTTTATAAGCAAAAACTCCTTCGAAATCACCTCCATGGACTGTAACCAGCTGCTATGGGTGAAGTGAAATCAATCATGAACCCCTAAATAAACCCTATTATGAAACTATTTTGCAGTTAATATATTCTCAAGGGATTCAACAATAACGAGAGTGTAAGCAAAGAGGAAGTTTCACCGAAATGTTATTGTAAAACGTATGAATAATATGTGACACCATTTTGCAACTCAACTCCATGGACGCCTGTTATTTTTGTCAAAACTACCGATAGGTGTCACCTGAGGTAATGTTTCAAGGTGTCATCATTTCAAGCAGGAGCAGGGTTGGGATTGTTGTTACAATTGTAATATATCTATTACAATCGCGTCTCAGTTATTACGGTATTACTACATTGACGAAAACAGCCAATATCTATTACACTTTGACTGGAGGTAGTAATTCAAGTTTGAGGGCAACGTTAGTGGGGTAATTTTTTCAAACTTGTGTTTTGTGTTCTGTAACTGAGTTTTTTTATTCTTATAATAGTTTTGTCAATTTCTTACGAAGGATTTTTACAATTCCGAACCTAAAAACCAAGACATAATAACTCGTCTAATAATCTGATAATACCGAATTCATTTGGTGACGACTCATGAAAAAATGAACGAGTAAAACATAAATATTGTCTGTAGGTTATTTTCATCTTATAGAAACGAGGAGAGAAAATCCCAAAAAATCTGAAATAATGAAAGTAAAATATATGTTATGTTCTGAAACTTATTCTGTTTTTGGAGATCATGATGATTTGAGATTTTCATTATTCACATTTTTCGCTCGGCTATTATTCATGTATCTATATTTTGTCCTTACATGAAATGTAAAATCCCAAAAAGTTATTCTTACTAGAAATACAATGTTATTAGTTGAAAATAGAATATTCATCTTGTCATATAGAAGCTAAACGTTTTGTGAGACTGAGTTAATTCATTTAGCTTTTTCAGTTCCTATTTTATTCTCAGTTTTTATTCATTGTGGAATTGAGTGTGTTGTTTTTTATTTTTTCTTCATTTTTCCTGGACAGCCCAAAATTCTAAGGTACATTGTAACCAAAGAATCTCCTCTTGTAAAATTATAATAGGGAAATTCAAATTTGCCGCGCATTGTTTCAAATCTATTACATTCTATTACATTTTGCTACCAAGATTCAGTACAAACTGACACAAACGAAATCCCAACCCTGAGCAGGAGCAGTTAGTTGAAGATCGTCAGAGAAACGTGTTAACTTTAGGCAATTTATTCGGGATTCTGGGGACAAAGTTAGAATTCCAGGTGAGTATTTTTATTAACAATCAACTCCATGTCGTTGATCACAAATAGACTGAGTCCATTTAGATTCGTTGAATATTCTAGTAATGTATAACTAATAATGTCTTACATGCATGAGAAATTATTTGAGGTTAGGTTAAATAGCAGTGTGAATATTTGAATATTAACTATAGAACACCAACTCCATGGACATCAACTCCATGTCTTTAGATGTCCATGGAGTTGAACAACAAGTCCATGGAGTTGTTTCACTTCGGAAAATTGCGTCAATTGAAATCCCACATCACATATGTGCTCAGATTCAATGATACTCAAGTTTAGATAATTATTATAATTGAACAGAATGTGATAAAAAGCGATGCACACATTCTATTTTACATCATAGTGCGGTATTGGGTGATCGTTTTTAATGAGAATGTTTTTATTCGGCGTAGGTATATTGAAGCAATAATGGTAAATACAATGGAAAAATCATCAGATAAACGAAGAAAACAGAAAAGGGAGTCTGAGCAAAGAAAGAGAGAAAGAATAAGACTGGATCCTCATTTATATGAAGAAGCGAAGCGCAAAGAACGTGAAAGATACCATCAACGAAAAAATGCAGGAAAAATCAAAACAATCAACGAAAGAAACGACAGAGAGAAAAGACAGATAAGGAAACGCTGGAGACAAACATCTTCAGAATATAGAAAAAAAAGGAGGACTCAGGAAAATTTGAATAGGTTCCTAGAAGAAACTACTCCACCATCAACACCAACACGATTGGATGCTTTATTTAAGGCTCATCAGGAAGATCTGCTTGAAAAATGGATAAATTGAATATACATTGGGGTGTGTATAATTTGTAGCCTAGAATGAAATGCCTGGCTATTTCCAGCAAACAAATCGTTGTTCTTACTGCTTATCTGGATTCAGCTCATCGAACTACAGGATGAAAAGTTTCTGATTTTATTCACTGCCCCATTTTCTTGTGTGTTTTTTCATAAAATCTTGTGAACTGGATATTTTTGCAGCTCGACTTTCAAGGAGGTACCTATCTATAAAAAATATAATGATATTTTGTGTTTGGAGCAGAATATCCATGAGACATTGATGAAATAACCAGATTGAGTCTAACCTTAGTGCTTCTATATATTTATTTCAGATGGTAAATTTTCCATTCTGTTCTGGAACATCATCATCCTTCTGGTACATTCCTTCTGAACATTACTCACATAATGATTTCTAATGTGATACTTCCACATCACTCATAGTTTTCCGTTTTTCAACTGAAAAGCTATTAATGTAAGTACTCTTCGCTGTAGGTAGGTACCTGAAATTTTCAAGTATATAGTGATTCCGATGTGTACATGGTTTACATCACTAAAGACATGTTTTCACTGCAAATAATGGAATTTCACGAATTATAGAGTAACTTATCAAAAATATAGAAGGAAAAAAGCAGCCCCTACCTTTCTGCTTGGCTTGCATGTCGAAAAAGTGTAATAGCACTATTGAGTTTCCGAAGTTTCCACAGTTCCAACTTAAATTCAAGTTGCATCATGAATCATACTAATACAGCATTGCCTAAACATCTTCCTGCTTCCATTCAAGTATAGGTAGATGGTTTTCATACTTGATAATATCCTTCGTGATAATGTTTCATTTTCGGGATTCCACATGACAGATTCTTATTTACAAACTTGACAGGACCATGAAAAATGTTACGGTTAGGTCTGACAAATGAATAACTTAGTTTACTTGGTTCACATTGATGTCTCTGTACTACTGAACGCCTTCATTTATTTTTTCAAAGAACAGACAATATTATGCTCTCGCCTACTAACTACCTAACTAGGTATCCATTTAGATCGACAATGCTCTGAGGATATGACTACACCTACGTGGATTTAAGATAGAATGGCAAATATTCTGGATACAAAACTGGCTAAAATAAGTAATAATAAAAATAATGAAGTTTATTCAAAATGGTTACATAATACATATTGGTATTGAATAAACAAAGGAAACCTTAAGAAGTATAACTTGTTGTAAGGTGAATACAAAAAATATAATACATACACTGTGTGTAAAAATTGGCAACGCTCCGATGGACGCTAACAGACCGGAGGCTCATCGGCTGTGCTGATTCGTTGACCAAATATTAATATCGGAGTCGGTGAAATACGCGGCGTTATAATGAACTACATTTCAAGCTCTACAATCGGTTAACCAAATTCCTGAACATATCAAAAACAGTACGTCCATTAACACTTTCAATAGACACATGGAAAAACTTCTATTAGAAAATATCTGATGTATAAAAAAGTATCTCTTCCTACATGCACTACTTGTAATAATTAATAATTATACAAGTTTGTTGACATGCAAGTCACACATATAATAATTGTACATATGTTTATTACTCATTATTGAGTATTCAAATAAAAAAAAAAATAGATGTGCACAGCGGATTACCACCGCCATGTTCACGTCCCAACTGATCGTTGCCCATTCTTACATCAACGGTGACTATCTAGGGTTTGTATTATGTATAAGTATTATGATTGATTGTAAGTTGTGTGACAAATATTGTTCAGGTTCAAATTCTCAGATACATAAATGTTTTTTCTATTTTGTTCATGTTTCATCGTTTTTATTATCTATATTTTCATTTTCATTGCTTCGTTTTTTTTTTTTCGTTTTAGCGGTATTGTGATAATGATTATGTTTTTTCAGCTGGATAAAAAACAAGCAGTTCTAATCCATCCCAGTTCCAGCCTGCATGGTCAACAACCTGGTTTAGTCATATTTACAGAAGTTGTACAAACTAGTAAGTGTTACTTGAGAGGATTAACAACGATAGAAAGTGATTGGTTAAGTGAAATAGCTCCTGAATATTTGAAAAATCATCATATGAAAGTCACTAATGGTAGTTGATAGAATATTATTTTATTATTATTATTATGTAATAGGACCTGATAGATTCATTGATTTAAAATCGACCATGAGTACAAAAGAAATTGAAATATTTTTCAAATTGGATTATCATACTTTAATGGTCTGAAATAACCCCTGTGCACAACATTGACATAACTAAAATAGGAGATAATATAATGAGGTTTTTGTCCTACACCTACCAGTGTCAAAAATGCGATTTTATGATACTAGTGTTGAAAGTAATTCATTAACAATATTGGCGTGCTGATTGAACTGATCTACATCTATGTAAACTTCAAGTCTTGACATTATTAATGATTTGAGATGGAAGATAGACTAGAGATAGATAGAGGATAGAGAGTATTTGACTCATACTATAGACGCGAGTTCGATTTTAATATTTCCTAGATATGGAGTGATAAAAAATTCTCAAATGAATTAAGTTATGGAACATTTTTGGAGGCACCTATATATGCTTATTCATAGGAATCCACTGATTGTTGAATATAAAAATGTATAAAAATTTTTGACGGTTAATGCACGTTCAAGTGTAGGAAGGAAGCAAACGGCAAAATACAGTCTTCCATCTCAACCTCCATCATTAAGACTTATTTGGTTGAAGCTCAGTGTTGAAGCAAGGGGTTATTTGAAAAGTTTGTTCTCTCTTTAGTTTTATTTTACATGACCATCATTTTATTACATAAATTTTTATTTCAACATTGTGAGTAAAAAATCATATTTTTAAGATTACCTCAATAATTTAGTGACTGATCTGTGAAATAAATTTTCAATTTGTTAATAATATTTGTTTTATTACCTCACTATATCGGCGCTAATAGTCATAGGAATAGCTATTCATGTTACTAGTGATTTTGAAGTTAACGGGTTAGAATAAATGGGATTTGTAGGACAAAATGAAACATTCGAATTGAAGTTGATTTGTCCATAAAATGAGAAATACTTATTATAAGAAAAAAATTATTCCGAACTGATAGCAGGTACCAACCAACTGATGAAATTAGGGCATGAGGATTTTCATGTGCCCATATGGTGATTTATCAAATAAGTTATGCCATCACCCGTGAACTGAGCATCATATTTTGTTCTTGATACAGTTCTGCAAGTGATATGAGGATGCAGTTGCCATCATTTTTCAATATTCCTAATGTTCACCCTTCTGAAGGTTTCTGCTATGTATTCTTGGTTCTGGAAATCTTTTATTGTTCTAAAAAATTGTTCTAAAATTGTTCTATCCGTCATTCGGTTGCCCCCTTACGAGCAACCCTCAGAAGTCTTCGAAAGTCTTGTGCGAGCAAGGAATGACGGGGGCCTTACCTTTTAACGTGTGATCCCAAACACTTTCTAGGGTCATCAGAAAAATGTCTGCAGTCGACGGGAATCGAACCCACGACCGGCAAGCGAATGCGAATTAGAATATAGACACTCTGTCCGCACGGCTACCTGGCCCCTGGTATTGAACATTGCAGCATTCGAATTTTAGTCTTGTTCAGCATTTGAAATATGTGAATATATGAATAAAATATAGTCACGGCTTGTCAGGACTAATCATATTTATCTAGAATTTCGATCAAAAACAAGATTTCAAATTATCAGAAAATCAAACCTACTCTCTTCTGTCAATTTCTATGCAACAAAAATATGAAAAAAAATCAATTTACATGAATCCAGTTGAAAATTAAAAGTTATTATCAGCCAGGTCACAATTGAAAATTCATACATTCAACTTCCATATTTTTTTATTGAATCGGTCGAAGTGTGCCGTTCTAATTGAAAAGCAGGGCATTTTGTGTGATGAATCTGATGAATTTTTTCGAGAAAAGCGATCAGAATGAAATTTTAAGACATAATGAAAAATGATTTTTTCCCCGGATCCGTTTTTTTCTCAATATTACATCATGTCCGGATCTCTATTTTTTTCTCAATGTTACATCAACATCATGAATAGTTTCAATAGAGGAACGTCGTCGCTGCCAAATTAATTTCTGAAATTTCGAACTTAAAAGTTATATGGCAATTTAACATCTTCATACTTTCATCAACTCCTCTTGATTTCCCCTATTTACCATTTGGCTATGTGAGTATCTCCTCATGAATCACCCTGTATATGCGTAGGAGACCCTTCTCTGATATAGACAGGTACCTAGTGTGATATTTTCATATATTTTCATTTGCTTGTCAAGTGCTGCCAATCAGTTTCACTGACACATCTTATGAAAGCTTTCCATTATTTCATCAGGTCTTCTATGTAGTAACCACGATGGGTAGTAACGCAATTATTAAGAAATGTCTAATAGAGTGTGTTCGAAAAATACAGTTTTATCACAAATAAATTATTTTTGACATTTATCTGAAACTCCACAAAGTTTTCAAAAGACATTCATGTTCCATTGAAAGCAGAGGCAGCACACAGAAAAGTTCCTGGGGGTTAATAAATTGGGTACTACCCCCAAAAGTGTATCATTCTCTGTAGGTAGGTAATCAAAATCACTTATAATAGCCCTGAATATTGAGTTCTTTAAGTGTCATAGCCATAGGTATACCAATTTTTTTTCCAGAAAAATACTTTATTAAAACAAATAAACCTTTTCAGACTATAACCATTAATAGTATGTTTTTCCAAATCAGCAATAATGCTGGTGATGGACCTCAAACTCAATAAGTAGACAAGTTTAACATAAATAAAAATAAAAATACCATTTTACATTTGGGTAGGTACACAGTCTTGAAGCATATTTAACCTAAACAAAAAAATCAATACCTTGAACTCGCCGTCTTACATACTAGGTATTGATTGCATTCATATAAATCATCAATTCTCTTTTGAAAGATTCATATAACTATCTTTGTTTTTGATAAAATTTGGTAGAGTTTGCCCTGGTAATAGTGATTGTGAACTTGATTTACTAAAAATTCATTGGTGTATTACTTTTTTGCTGATTTTTCTCCTGACTCTTTGTTTTTATATATAACATATATACTGTTTTTTGTACATTAATTTTCAATTTATTACTCAACAGCCATTCCGAATGTAGGTTTAAATCTATATTAAGTCTGCTTTCTAGTTCTTTTAGATATTTTCCTTCATAAACAAGTATTGTGTCATCCGCAAATGTATAGTAATGAGCTATTTAATTTGCCTTTTTGAAAAGTGTGCAGAGAATAAAAAAGTGGTCTCAGGACTGAGCCCTGTGGTACTCCACAATTTATGTTTTTTATCTGGCTCTATTGAGACATACTGTTCCCGGGAATGTAGATATGTTTCAATTAAGTTTAATGTTATACCCCTCAATCCCAATGTATTCAACTTCATTAATAATATATATTATGATCTACTACATCAAATGCTTTCTGAAGGTTTACAAATACAGTGATGACTTATTTACTTTCATCCAGTTTCGTTGTTACATAGTTCAGTAAATCTGTTGTGTCATTTTGTGTGTTTGATTTTTTTTGAAATCCATATTGATAGATAGATAGATTTATTGATCTCTTCCAATCATTTACATGACATGAGATAAGTCTAACCATGGTCGGTTGGGAATCAAGATAAAATATTGATATTTTTCTAGTTTAGTATATTTATCCATAAACACTATAATTCGATTTTTGTTTAAGCGTTTATTCTACTACTTTGGACAATGCAATGCACAAACAACTGTAATCGGGCGATAATTCTCAAGTTTGGATTTTGAACCTGATTTGTGGATAGGAATGACTTTTCCTTTTCTTGATATGTCAGGATGAATTCCGTTTTCGAATATGTCATTGATTAATAACGTGACCAGAACTGGTCAGAGCCATTCAATAATCAACAATAATTCTTTAATTGATATCTTATCCTGTCCAGGGGCTGCATTTTTATTGATTTCATTCAGGACATTGGTTATTCCGCCAACATTTGTACTACTAAGAAATAGTGAATTGTTTGTATAGATGTTATCAAGAGTATGACTGTTAGGGTTATTTATTAGTTCTTCATTGATATTATTGATTGACCAACATTTTCAAAATATTTGTTCAGCCTATTTACAATAATTTCCTGATCAGTTTCAATTTTATCATCAATTTCTAGGACTGCTATAGTATTGTCTCCTTTCCTTTTCTTCACCAAGGTATTTAATGACCATGCATTGCTTTTTTAGATGGTTACCTGCTTCATCCCATTTTTTTTTTCAAAATATTTAGCTTTCAATTTCCTCGCCTTTCATTATCCACTTTATTTTTTATATATTTGAAATTATTTACTATCCTATCATCTAGTGGAAATTTTCTTCTCAATCAATTATTTTGGAAATTGTAGGAACAAACCAGAAAAACAATGAAAAAATCTCACTTACCTCTGTATATCAGAAACGAAGCTCCCATGCATTATATTTTCATGAACTTTTCTTCTTAAAACTGTTGAAGTCCTGCTACAAAGTAAAAGTACTGACCCTGTATATACCTATCTGTTATTTAAATATGGAATTTATTATTTTCCACACTGTATATGGATAACTAAAAGTAGCATGATCCTGATATAATTAGTAGATAATTAGTAACTGTTTTTGAGTTCATCCAGAGTTTTTCTAGATAAAGTGACAAATGGAACATATTCAACATATGCCATTCTCATGTGAACTACAATAATTTTTAATAGAAGTGATAATATGGATATGCAGAGCTAGCAATTTTGAGAGGTCTTGAATCACATTATTGAAAATATTATTTCTGGTTTCTGGTAATTTTAAATGGAAAATATTGTATATCAAATAGTATAGTATAGACAGAAAACTAGCAGATAACTATAGGCCTATATCTCTCATCTCCCACTTATCAAAAATTCTTGAAAAGGTGTTGAAAATCAGACTACAAGATTTTATAAAAAAATATAATATAATTTCTGAACGACAGTATGGATTCAAGCAAAACACTTCCACACAAGATGCCATCCTCTCTTTGACAGAAAAAATTCACGACTCTTTAAATGAAAACAAACCATGCCTGTGCGTATTCATTGATCTATCGAAAGCCTTCGACACCGTAAGCCATGAATTACTCTTCCAGTCTTTAGAGGATATAGGTATCAGAGATACTTCATTAGATTTATTCAAAAGCTACATCACGAATAGACGTCAAACTGTTAGAATAAACGATATTATTAGTGAAGCCTTACCTGTTGAATACGGGGTGCCCCAGGGTACGGTCCTTGGACCACTACTCTTCAACATTTATTTGAATGGTTTATTTTCTGTGAAGAGTAAAGGGGACATTGTTGGATTTGCCGATGATACCGCAATCTTTTACAAAGCTGATTCATGGGAAGAAGTGAAAAGAATCGTACAAACGGATTTTATTCTGATTAAGAAATGGCTTGAAAACAGATTATTAACAATAAATTTTCAGAAAACGAACTATTTACCTTTTAGCTGCAATAAAACAAATCTTCCCCTCTTCACCGATATTCAAATATCTGACGGAGGAACTGACCTAATAATAGCAACTAAAAATAATGTCAAATATCTGGGAGTCATGATAGACTGCCACATGAAATGGGACATACACATAAAATACATCATTAAGAAGTTACAATTTATTCTCTATAAATTGAAATATTTGAAAAAAATTCTATCTACACAACAACTATTAACATTGTATCTTGCGCTCGTCGAAAGTCATCTTCGATATGGCATACTTGCATGGGGCGGCGCCTTGAAATCGCACCTCAAACCCCTCGAAATTCTACAACGAAGATTTCTCAAAATTATTTTGGGAAAGTCATCCAGATATCCTTCTGACCTTCTTTTTACAGAAGCAGAAGTACTTAATATAAAACAACTTTATTACTACCATGTGACCATACGGTACCATACTATTAAAAACTCCGGAGACTTACCAACACATATGTACAACACCAGACAAAAAAATAATTATATCATTCCACAAATCACAAAATCACTCGGAATGACTAGTTTCTCATTTAATGCTCCGAAAATGTACAATTCATTGCCTGAAACAATCCGAAATATACCTAGCTTATTCAATTTCAAAAAACAACTGAAATTATTCACGAGAGAAACTCAAAAATTCCTGTAAAAGAATTATGAACCTCACTTCATTTCATTCTTACGAGGGTGTATATGCGTATGTTTGTTCTGTGTATTAAACAATAATTTACCACGTGATGTCTTTGATTCATTTCATTTATATACTTAATGTATATCGAAACAAGTGTTTAATCACTTATCGATTGTTCTTGTCTGCTGTAGATATAACGTATTTTATTTATTAGAATTACATTTATTAGTACTATTTTATTTCCCAACATTGTCGAACCCTTTTTTTGGTATTTTGTTTGTTCTTTTTATCGCTTTTACACTTTGTATATATGTATCTCATATTTCATTACCTCTATGTTTACTTATAAATTCTGAAAGTTGTATATTTTTGAATAACATTTTAAATTTCTCTATGTTTAATAGAATCATAAAATATCCTTTTTCCTCGAAACAAGCGTGAATACGCTTATCGAGTATCATCATTTATGCTATTTATGTTCTTGTAATAAGATTATTTTCTTTCATGTAGCAATAAATGATATTATTATTATTATTATTATTATTATTTAAACATGGAATGATCATTACAAAATAGGTAGGTATGTGGCATAATGTAAATTGTTCATTGATTTATCAATCACAGAAAAACAAGAGCAAGTTTGTGTTGTAGTCATAGAAAAAATAAGCACTAGTAAGAGCATAACATTGTTGTGGACAACACTTGACACAAAAAATATACATTTTCTGATTATCATGGCATTAATTTCTCATATGCTAAATATATACCCTATTTATCCTGAGTGAATATGATTAATAAGCATATTAGAATACTATATTGTTCTGGAATGATAGTCATTTTCCCTGAGAATGTAAATCATATGAGTGGGAAATTAGTATTCCATGCAAGTACACTACTTTTTCTATGGCTGTGACAGACAACAGGGAAATTTTGATTTATTTGGATAGCCATCTGATTTTCTCTCTAGGAATAACACATTGTGATATCAGATACTAAAATACAATTGATGACCAACAATTATCTCATTGATTACAGTAAAACAAAAGCAATTTTGTGTTATAGCCCTAGAAAAACAATAATATTCCATAGTATTATGAATAGCAAGATTGGTACAGCTTGATTTGGAAACATTCTTTATTCCACAGAAGAATTATTTCAATACAATGTTTATTAAATTACAAAAAAATGCTCAACCTTCAAAAAATTTGGGCAAATCTGTTCCCAAAATAACTTTACGTTCAATGCCAGCTTCAGTAAGGATACCCAATCTAACAACACCTCCAGAAGATCCATCTCTTGACATAGCTAGGGCCAAAGTATTTGTAACAAACTTGATACATTCTTCCTTTGACATGTTAGGCTTAAAATTGGCATCAACATATCCATAAACATAGCTAGAGCCAGATCCTCCAATGGATACTTGCTGTCTCACACACATACCTCCAATTGGCACAGAATAAATCTGTCCACCTTTGCGCTTATCCCATCCAGCCACAAGAATGCCAGCTGTTAAAGAGTCTCTATAATTGTAACACAGCTCTTTAAATATTGCAGCACCAACTTCTACAAGAGGTTCTTCTCCAAGTTCCATGCCATGAAAGTTGAGATGATAAGAAACTATGTCTGCAATTGCTTGGGTATCAGCAGCAGACCCAGAACGGCAGCAATAAATGTGATCTGTCACCTTTGTTAGCTTATCAGTGACACGATTTGCTATGTATGCACCTGTAGTCGTCCTCGAATCGGCGCCTATTATAACACCTCCATCGAATTCTGCAGCCATTATAGATGTTCCTGTACTGTGAGCTGCATTTCTCCAATCATTTGAATCATCCATGATGGAATTTTCTATTCCCAACATAGGCATTTAGACCTAACTCGAATTCACTACTTTGCTAGTAATAAGTAATCTCAACTCAGGATTATAACTAGTTAACTTCTAGCACTTTCAACTTTCGAATGACCAAACAAATTTTATAAAAATTAACCTCAATATATCTTCTTATTTTTGTTTCTTTAGTTGACAATTGACATCAGCATCTGTCTTATCACGAACGTCTCTCGCCAGTCATTCAATTAGTAGCATGCTCCGTGCTGCGGAAAATCTCAACACTTGTCCAGTCACTTCTTTGTCAATTTTGCGACAGGTCGTAAAACTCGTAAATCTTGCAGACACGGGCAAAACTTCTTAGAGCAGTGATTGTTACAATACGTGGATTTTGATGATTCTCTTTGATCAAATGTAGTAATATGTATTTTCCTCCTAACAAAGCAGAGGTCAAATCATCCATCAACAACCATGGTTGCACTTTTTTTGTCGGATTCAAAATGAAAGAGTGAGGTTCGTCATTATGACGTAGCTGCCTCTCACCACCTTAGCCAAAATACTGTAACCGTATTTCACGGGTAATGTGATTAATGTGAATGAAATATTCCTCAAATCGCGGAAGACAGAGTGAAGTGAAATATAATTTGCACTTCTCCTTTCTGTCTCAGCTTCACCAACTCGATCGTTAATATTGTTGGTTTGTGTTGGTTTTACTTGAAATGTATCTCTCCTTCGGATTACGAAATTCTAACCTAGACAAAAATGTGAAAATAATGTGAAATATATCGAAACTTTGAAATTAGATATTAACGGAGTGGATGCCGAGGTTCAAGAAACACGCAAAGTGTTCGAGAATTGAGGTCTGGCATTTTATTATCTGAATGTAATATTATGTTTTCTGAGAGTTAACGCAATCACATAATATATTTCCAAATGATAATGTTCTCGTTCTCGATCTGATGGCACGAAATGCCTGAAAGACACAAAGAACGATATTTCTGTCAATGTGAAAGAATGGGGAACATTTGAAACGGTTAATGTTGACGTCATTATGACGTAGCTTACGTAGCTAGCTGTCTCCCATAACCTTTACCAGAATATCTCGACCAGAGATTAGCCACCCACTTGCCTCGACTTAATCCAACAGGTAAAGGAGAATATACTTTCTACATAAAAACTGAGCAATCTAACCTAACTTGATCTTTGGAAGAAGTCAAATGGAGTGAAATTCTTCAAACGAAGGAATAATGCTCGAAGTCTTACTTGAAATAATCTCAAACTTGTGAACCTCACGATAAAAATGTCTTCTACTCCCCAAAAGATCCAATTTTCGTCAATCTAATATATTTTAGTAACTGTCAACAGTCATTCCATGTCATTCCTTGTAGTGAGATTGGTAGTGAGAAGGAATAATGAATAATGGAATAATGAAAAGAAGCTACCGGAATCGGAAAAGTTGCAAATAAAACCATTATTAAAGTGATTCCGGTGGCGGAATCGGATGAATAAAACGCAACTATAATGTCTGACACATTCTGACACACGTCAGCCAATCAGAATCAGCTGGATCAGCATCATGATTATCAGCTGTTTAGTGTCAAATTTTATATTTACAATTTTGTAGTGTTTTTATAAATATTTTTGTTTCTGAGAGTCTTTGACTCTTGTGATTGAAAGTATTTTCTCGTGAAATTGTTTCGACATGCCTCCAAAACGCCTTTCCAAAGCTCCCGCGACGGTTAAGAAAGTTCATAAACATGTTAAAGTTCCCAAAAGTACCCATGAAGGTGAGTTGAGACAACCGATGAAAAAATGACCAGTTTCATGTTTTCCACTTTTAAATACTGAATAGGAATCTATGTATGAAATATTACAGGAATAATATCTAGCAAAATGATAGTTGAAGGTATTGAGTTCCATATTGGGTGAGCTCAAAGTGAGATCCATCTACATCTCTTGAAGGTACATACAACAATTTAATGTACCAGTACGCCGAATCGCCAAATGTTTCAAGGAACAAATATACAGCAATAGATACACTTCCCCAAACATTTAATGCACCACCCCAGGCAGCACCAAAAAGTATCCAAAAGTTTGAAAAACACGGAAAAATATTTTCATCAAAACTACTTGTCTGATTTTTGTTTTGAAGGACGGGTTGTGTCCTGAATATTAGTGTGCAAACTGTATTCCCATAAAAACCTTCTTTATACATACCCAGTGTAGCAATTATGTAGTGTGTTTTTTTAATGAAATTTGTAATACTCTGTAGAGTGTACCAGTTACATTATCAAGCTATAATTCAAATTACAATTTAGCCTTTCCTTTATGTTTATTATTTTTTATCATATTTTTTCAACATTCCTTTTTTGGATTTGCTCCATATGATCTTTCCTATTACTCCAGATTAGTCCAGATACACAAGGTCATAGCCAGGATGTCATAACTTGACATGATTTTATTGAATTTAATTAGCATTATAAGCACCTAAGTAGTAAGCTATGGCCTGGGAAGGCATTTCTTTGACTGGTCGCATGGAACTTGTGATCATAAATGAAATTCCCACTAGACCCCCAATAAATCCTCGGATAAATCCATAGAATCAGCTGTTCAGGGGAAATCTGAAATTGGAATGATATACAGGGTGTTCCATTAAAAAAATCAAAGTTGTTGCTACTTTTCAATATAAGCGACAACGTCGCAAAGCTGCGAATATTTTGGTCCATAGAACACAACTGATTATTCAAGGCACCAACTTTTCAGAATAATCCTGAGTTGTGTTCTCCAGAAACGTCTAATGTGCCATCCACCGTGCATCATCATGTATACTTGTACTTGTAAACAAGTTGATGTGTGAATAAATTATATTATTATTGATCAAGTCACAGGACTTCAGTTATAAATAATATTAATGTCGCACATGCGCAAGATGTGACTCTTTTGGGTTGATGATCAACTAGCCAGTCTACGATATGCCTCCTCCTCAGGTTGATTAACTAATGTACTGATATGCTGCTGCGCCATTTTGGGTGTACCTATACGAATAACAGTAGATAAATTCGGTGTTTTATTGAAGTGAATTACAGAGTTGTAACGATACAACAATTATATTATTACTATACCGGGTGACACAGGTTATCGGGCCACCCCTGTAACTTCTGCATTCGTCAACGGATTTTTCTGAAATTCGGGACACTTATATAAGCAACTATTTCGGATTTGATCACATTACAATCCAATATGGCGGACTTCCGGTTTTCTGGAAATGCCAGCAATTTTGTTTTTTCAAATGGAACACCCTGTATTTTTTTACATATTCAAGTTCAACAGCTCAAAAAAGTGCAATCTTGATGTTAAATGTCATTTATTCCACAGCCTACCTAGTTGAAAAATTATTCTAACTGCAAGGAAATTCATGAACTAGTTGTTGGTTTTTGAATGTATACAATTTGTTACTGCACCGAAAAATAAAAATGATATTTCATTTTGTTCCTTAATGTATGTTCGTGTATGTTCTAGAGAAACGGGTAGGTGGCCCATAGGGGTTCCATTTGAAAAAAAATAATTTTTGATCAAAAAGTGATTTGGCTGAATTGATTCCTGGATAAGTGACACAAAAAATAATTTTTCAGAAAAAATTATGTTCTTTTGTTATGTGTGACTCATTGTGAAAAGTCTCGACCACATCTCATTTATATACGAGGTAAAATGAAAAAACAATTGTAATTTAAATTTAATTTAAAAATGACATTTGAAATGAAGATTGCACTTGTCTCGACCTGTTGAACTTGAATATGTAAAAATATACAGGGTGTTTCATTTGAAAAAACAAAGTTGCTGGCATTTCCAGAAATACCGGAAGTCCGCCATATTGGATTGTAATGTGATCAAATCCGAAATAATTGCTTATATAACTGTACCGAATTCCAGAAAAATCCGATGACGAAAGCAGAAGTTACAGGGGTGGCCCGATACCCTGTGTCACCCGGTATATCAAGTGATATATATCATGATATGTATCATGATATATATCTGATATTTATTGATTGATATATATCATGATATATATCATTTACTTCTTTTTAACAAAATAAATACCGGAGCAAAAAGTCCTTGATATTTTGCGTTAAAAATGAATACAACAACAATGCGTTTCGTGGTTATAACTTACAACTCGGGGAATCCCCGGTTTTTGTTTACTGCTTGTTAGGTACATGGTACATCACTACATCAGGCGTGTTCGTTTGTCCTTGCTCTACCTGCTGAACTCGATTTTTTTCTATGACTTACTTTGTTTACATCATGCCATGAACAGAGACAACTATGGAAAAAGAATCAACTTTAGCAAGTTTAGCAATACAAACGAACAGGCCTCAGGCATACAATGATTTGGTGGAAATCGGTTGCAATTCCTGACTTCGAATGGCCAAAAAAAGAACTCTTCTTACAACTATGTGAGCAGTTATTCAGTGCAGTAGCGGCAACAGCTGGTTTAGAAAGAATTTTTTCGAGTTTTGGAATAGTTCAATCTAAATTGAGAAATCGTTTAGGCAACGAAAAAGCCAATAAGCTAGTATTTATTTTTAAATGTTTAAACCCAAATACAGATAAAAAAGCCAAAAGCTTGGACTGGATCTCGTCGAATGATGAATTAGTTGCCTTGAGTGAAGATGATAATATTGATAATGACGATTATATTCCTCTTTCTCGGTTTTGCAATCCTTAAAAATCTATCAAACGACAAGTTTTTTATATTACCATATATAGGGTTGCCATCTCTGAAATGTGAAAACCAGGACAAGGCTACTTGAAAATCCGGACAAAATCCGGACAGTGGGAATTTTGAAAACTCGGCATCATTTTCTGTAATTCCATTTTCATATACATATGAATGAGTTCAAAGATGAATGGTGAATATCACTCTAGATATCACTATAATTCGGGTATATTACCTACATATCTTTTGTTGTACAAATCGAATAAAAACTCAAATACATTTTTAAACAAAAAATAAACCAATCAAGAGTTTGAAACAGAACTATATTAGTCACATAAATAATACCAAATCTACAAATTTTCAATTTTTGAGCAAACTTTCACTGACATGATAATAGTTTATGTCAGTGGTTTGAACTGACGAAAATCCGGACAATTTTCCAAAACCCGCCCGGACGTCCCCGGACGCCTCTAAAACCCGGACAT